GTAGCAATCTCTATCTTGATATCTTTTGTCATTGGCTTATATCCCGACGCTCCTTGAGCCAAATCATTAGCCTCTATATTCTGTTCTCGAGATATGTGCCTCAGAGTCACCAGCCGAAATTCACTTATCAACGTTCGGCACTTTTCGTAATAAACCATCAATGTATCATCCTTGCATTCATACTCTCCTGCCAATTGACTAATCACCAACAACGAATCACCCATGATTTCAATAGCATCGGCTGCAACTTCCTGAAGCAACTGTAACCCTTTTAAAACCGCCTCATACTCAGCCTGATTATTAGTCACATGGTGTGTAATAGCATAGGCAAATTCAAAACTTGCCCCCCAAGGCGCAATTATAACCAAGCCGATACCATAACCATGACTGCATACAGATCCATCAAAGAATAATACCCAAGGCATAATGTCAACCAAGCCGATTGAACCATCACGATGACCCACAATAAAATCGGCTATAGCCTGTCCCTTAATCGCCTTTGGTGATTCGTGCCGAAGATCAAACTCCGTTAAAGAAAATATCCACTTGCCAACTCTCCCTTTTAAAATCGGAGCCGATAACATGTACTTAATCACATCGGCTTTACACACCACAGTGCATTCATTGGACAACAAGTAATGCCTCAACTTAGTGCAAGAGAAATATAAACACAAACATAATTTCTCCACAGGAGAATACCTTGTTTCTGCATCCAAGAGCCGACGGCTTAAATAAAACACAACCCTCTCTTTTCCTTCAAGCTCCTGAATCAAGACCGAGCCGATTGACTTATCACCGGCCGACAAATATAACCGTAAAGGAATCCCTTTTTGTGGAGAAATCAATACTGGAGGAGAACTTAAATATTCTTTAATATTATCCAAAGCTTTCTGTTGTTCTACCCCCAAGTGAATTGCTGATCGGCTCTCAATCTTAACAATGGTGTAAAAGGTTCCAATTTTCTAGACAAATTAGAAATAAACCTTCGAACAAAATTAATTTTGCCGATCATCTCCTGCAACTCTGTCTTGTTTCCCGGAGGCTTAATCTTTTTGATCGCATTGATACTCCTCTGAGGTATTTCAATCCCCCTCTCATGAACAAGAAATCCCAAGAACTGGCCAGCCGATACACCAAAAGCACATTTTGTCGGATTCATCTTCAGACCATACTTCCTAGTCCTCTCGAAAACTTTTCTCAAGTCGGCTATGTGGTCCTCTATTTCTCTGGATTTAACAACCACATCATCAATATAGACCTCAACCAACCATCCGATCAGATCATGATATATATAATTCATAGCCCTCTGGTACGTAGCTCCAGCGCTCTTTAAGTCGAAAGTCATTACAACCCATTCGAATAAGCCGATTGCACCAGGACATCTGAAGGCCGTCTTATGGATATCTTCTTCGGCCATAAAGATTTGATTATACCCCGCGTTCCCATCCATAAAACTTAGTATCTTATGTCCTGAAGCAACATCAACCAACTGATCGGCCACTGGCATCGGATATTCATCCTTCGGGGTAGCTTTATTCAAATCCCTGAAATCAATGCAGACCCTCACCTTACCATTTTTCTTGATAACAGGAACTATACTAGAAACCCATTCATCATATCGGCAAGGACGAATAAAACCAGCATCACACAAACGTTTGATTTCAGCCTTGACAGGTTCAAGCATATCGGCTTTGTATCTCCTCGGAGGCTGCTGGTGTGGTCTAATCCCTGGTTTTAAAGGTAATCGATGCTCGACGATCGATCGGCTGAGTCCTGGCATCTCATAATACTCCCAAGCAAAGCAATCTCTAAACTCTTTCAAAAGCTCCATCAACTTGGTTCTAAATTCTATTAACAAATTCTTACTAATGAATGTCGGCCTTGGTCGATCACCCGGACCTATATCCACTTCTTCTAAATCATCGGCCGACATAAAACCCTGACCTTGCTTGTCATCGAGATCATCTACCGTGTCCTTGGCGTAGACGCTTGAACCCTCCACGACGCCCTCAAAATAATAGCTTGGGTTCTTCATCTTCAATCGGATATATATCAGAATCGGACACTTTTAGAAAATCTCCAATCCAAATCTTCCCGGATAAACAATCAAGGCCATCCATCTCCCAAAGAGCTAGATCGGCACTGGCAACATTAACTGACCTGTCGGCTGGCACAATCTCAACCTTGTCGCCTTGTCATTGAATCAAGCATTGGTGCATGGTCGAAGGAATACAACAATTGGCATGAATCCAATCCCTTCCGAGCAACAAGCTGTAAGAACATTTCCCATCGATGACAAAAAATGTGGTAGGGATAGTTTTACTGCCGACTGTCAATTCTACATTCAGAACACCCTTTGTTTCCGATGGGTTGCCACCAAAGTCTTTAAGCACCATGTTCGTCTTGATGAGATCATCGGTAGTTCTACCTAACTTTCTGAACGTAGTATAAGACATCAAATTTACTGCAGCCCCACTATCGACCATCATCTTTGACATCGGCTTCTCATTGACATAGCCATTTATATAAATACTATTAATACCTGGTCCCACCTGTCATACACACATTACGTCTTGGAGTCTGTACTGCAGCTGGCTATAGATCTATAGTCCGCTACTCTTCTCTCTTCTTTTATCTCTTTAAAATATATTTATAACTGGCTTATAGCCCTTTATTGTACCTGCTCTAATATGAGGAGCTTGCATGTATGGTTTCCATTGTTTGTTTGACATGTGCGTGCCCTGATCCTTAAGTGGACTACACAGTACACGCACAGTCTTTTACGTGCGCATGTGACTGCAGTAGCCACTGTATTTGTACTACATCGATCACGCTGCATAGATGCATCCATGCATGAATCTGTGCAAAAAAACTGTAGTTCGATCAGTCGACCATTCGGCATGCATGTACACACAATGATCAATATTAATTAATTACCAATGGGTGACCATTTTTTTACTGTGACTCGGCTCTGACGTGGCAACAGTATAGATGGAGATCTTTGGAAACCCTACATGACGCCAAGAAGGGGACCCCCTTTAATTGACAGTCGTACGGGTTGCACGAGTTGTCGCAGTCGGACTGATTAATCAGTCACGGCTACACTGTTTAGCGATCCACGGCACTGTACACTACTACTTTTTTTAAAAAAAAAAAAACTTCTCTGACCTAGATTAATGTTTTGTTTAGTTCATACCAGTTTGGTTGAAATTGGAACGATGTGATGGAAAAGTTAGAAATTTGTGTGTATAGGAAAGTTTCGATGTGATGGAAAAGTTGAAAGTTTGAAGAATTATTTTGGAACTAAACACACGGCCTAAGAGATTTTTGCAATTTATCTCACGTAGTCCCGTATTCCCTCCTAAAATATATCAATATAACATCGTAGTACTGCATTGGACATAACATTAATAATATATAATCTAATAGATTGCTATATTTTGGACTAGATGAGTACACCAAGGGAAGTATTAACAATCGCTTTACTAATATATTGTATTATTTTGTTTCATTTAGATAAAACTTTAACTAATAATTATTTTATCAATATATTAGTCATAAGATGCGAAGGCATAATTATAAGAAAATTATTTTCAATACGACTCTAATTTGTGTCGCAAAAGTTACATGATAATGCAATAATTGTTGCTAAACGTTTTGGCTCAACGGAACAAAATGTCTTACATTCTGGAAAGTGAAAAATGTATATACGCTTAGTGAAAAAGGAAATCTAGATAGACAACATGAAAAAAATATTATGTACATGTTGTGATAACTTTGAGAATGGGTTTTTTTCTCCTTTTCCACAGAATAAATCCCCCATACCATGGTGGAATCACGAATTTGTCCGCCCACAGAAAAGCCTAAATGAATGAAGAAAGTTTTCCTCATTGGACAAAGGTGAATGAATTAATTCCATCTGTTGGATACACATTAGCCTACATTTTCCAAAAGCAAAACTAAAAAAATAAGAAATTAGGGAATCATCATCGTTTATCCCAAATCGGCCAGCACGTGAATCTATCTATCTGCCGATTGGTGATAAGCAGAGCTCGGCTGCCACAAACCAGAGCTTAGCTAGAATATTGCATATATAGATTCTCCCGTGAATATTTTTCTGAAAGGAAAATTCTCGAGTATATATGATTTTTTTTCTTTTCATCCTGGCGATCGAAAAAAGATTTTATGAAATTTGGACGCACATTGACACGTGAAGTAATTATTAGAATGGATGCGCCACCCAATTATATATTCCCCTCAGAGAGGAAAAAAAATAAAATGCTATCGGAGCGTTGTGCAGCTAGAACGTTGCTCCTTAAATTTTGGAAGATGCAATACAAATACCTCCTTTCCGACAAAAATGGATGGATTCCTCGTGAAATGTTTCAAAAGAAGGCCCATTTAGTAAGCACACCATGGTTGTAACAGCCCATAAACCATGCTGCCAAGGCCCATCAGTGAGAACAGAGAAACATGTGATTTCAAAAGGGAAAGAAAAAACATTGTTTTTTTCGAACGGTCAAGAGAAAACAATGTTATTTCATAGAACTATGTTCGTCGACGTCAATTCGCAGAACTAATCGTTTGCCGACAAACGATTAGTTCTAAACTGCTCATAAATTTCAATTAAACGAGTGGATAGCAACTGTGAGCATCACAATTTAAATCTCACTCTTTCGTTTAGAAAATGGATTAAAATCCACCCATTACATCCACCGTTTAAATCGTAAGTCTTGTTTAATTTCCATTTTTTTTTCCATTTACAACTGTGAGCATCTCTGAACACGTGTATAGAGCATTAAATATAGATAAAGAACTAATTGTACAGTTTGCATGAAAATCGCAAGACGAATCTTTTGAGTCTAATTAGTCCATGATTAACCATAAGTGCTATAGTAACCCACATATGCTAATGACGGATTAATTAAGCTTAATAAATTCGTCTCACGGTTTCCAGTCAAGTTTATAAAATTAGTTTTTTCATTCGTGTCAAAAACCCCTTTTGACATCCGGTCGGACAGTCAAACGTCCGATATGACACCCAAAAATTTCCATTTCGCGACCTAAACAACCCTTACTAGAGTCACTCCACATCTCAAAGCATGTGAATTGATAAAACGCGAGCACAGTATTTGACATATAATTAACGGCGTACATTAATGAGTAGTAAAAAAATTATTTATCGTCCCATATCCATGCGGGCACCGGCCGGCGAGGCGGCAGCGGCGGCGGCGGTCAGGCGGCCGGCGGGAAGGGGATGGCGGCGGCGGTCTTCTTCCACGCCGGGCGCGAGGAGATGTCGTCCCACCACGCCTTGACGTGCGGCCTGGACGCGACGAGCTCCGCCATGGGCGTCTTGGAGAGGAACAGCAGGTAGGACATGTGGTTGGCGTCGGCGAGCGAGAATCGGTTGCCGGCGAGGTAGCGGCTGCCGGCGAGGTGGGCGTCGTAGACGTCGAGCACCTGTGCCAGCGCGGCGGCGTGCTCGTCGACGGCGGCCGTGTCCGTGGCGCCGCCGAGGAGGGGCTTGATGAGGAGCTGGAAGACGAGGCCGGAGATGGCCGGGTAGAAGTGGTGCGACTCCACCTCCAGCCACACCTCCAGCTTCGCCGGCGACGCCTCCGCCGGCAGAAGGTCGGCGCCCTCCGCCTTGTACTTGGTCGCGATGTACCGGTTTATCGCGCGGGACTCTGCAATTTAATTAACTATAATTAAATCAATGCATAGTAAAATCAACCGGTTTTCTGTTAAAAAAAAGTTCACTTAAATCAGAAGGAACATGATTTGGTAATTCAGTTGTTACTTTAGACGTATGATTGACAAAACGGTGAATAGGAAAACTGAAAAAAAAAAAACAGGAATGCCATTTTAGTAGACCGCAGGAAAATACATGAATTGGATACTAGTGATAGGATTGATCAAATAATATTTTCTAGGAGTTTCTGTTAATTTTATTTAAAATCTATAGATGCACTGAAACATTCTTTAGGGTTTTTATAGAATTTGGAAGCTCAGCTAGCTCCAATACTTTGTTTCGAAGGATCATATAAGAAAAACTACAAGTCGAATCTTACAAAATTAATTTCTCTATAGTTTCTTCGTTCAAAGGGGGGACTATAATTAGCCGGTTTCTTACCGTACAGGACTTCGTCTCCATCCTGCAGCACGGGGATCTGGCCGAAAGGCTGCAAAAAAATTAAAAAAGAACGTTGACGAAGATGTGAGATTCCGAGAGGATTTAGGGCAAAATAAGCATATGGATGGCGGTTAATTAGGGCAAAAGGCAAGTACGTACGTTGAGGGCGAGGAAGTGGGGTTGCTTGTGGGCGGCGGTGCGGAGGTCGACGGGGACGAGGTCGAAGTCGAGGCCCTTCTCGTTCAGCACCGTCGCCACCCGCACCACGTTCGCCGACAGCGCCATCCCGTACACCCGCAGCTTCCTCCCCTCCCCCGCCATCGCCGACGATCTCTCCAGGCCACTCTCGCCGCCGGCGACGATGTGGTGGTGGCAAGCAGCAGATGGCGAGAGCGAGATGGGATCGGAGAATTGATGGCGCGCAGTGTGGTTTGTAATGTAATGGCGGACAGTGGTAGGTTGGAGGAGTGCGATTGATGAGCCGCGGATGCAGCGGCCAGCGGGGGAGCGTCGTTGGTGTGAGGACTACTGAGAGGACCGGTCCACACACGGCACTGCACGCACGCGAGCGTTGAATGCGTGCGTAAACGTAGTACACCCTCCGTCGGAAAAAAAAAATCCAACGTTTAACCGTTCGTCTTATTTAAAAAAATTATAAAAAAATTAAAAAGACAAGTCATACATAAAGTATTGATCATGTTTTATCATTTAACAATAATAAAAATACTAATTATAAAAAAATTTCATATAAGACGGACAGTCAAACGTTGGACACGGAAACCTAGGTTTTATCTTTTTTTTTCCAGTCCCTCCGTCCGTGGACCGTGGGTGTTTAGATCTGAGGGTAAAGTTTTGCTGTATCACATCGGGTATTACATAGGGTATCATATGCGGGTGTTCGGGTACTAATAAAAAAAACTAATTACAGAATCCATTAGTAAACAACTAGATGAATTTATTAAGCCTAATTAATCCGTCATTAGCAAATGTTTACTGTAGCATCACATTGTCAAATCATGGAGCAATTAGGCTTAAAAGATTCGTCTCGCAAATTAGTTGCAATCTATGTAATTAGTTTTTTTTAGCCTATATTTAATACTTCATACAGGTGTTCAAACGTCCGATGTGACAGGGTGAAAAATTTTGAGGTGTGATCTAAACAGGGCCTTAATCTAATTAGAGATAAAATATTACCTAATCCAATAAACTTAGACATGCATATATTTAGATTTGTTGGACTAGTTAATGTCACATTTCCAATTAGGCTGGGTTTGTTTTGGAATGGAGAGTAATACAGATATGGTATGTTTTAGAACTAAAAATCTGAGCAACTATCTATTTAAATTTGTACTATTAAAATATGTCACATTTATACTTGGTTTAGTTATATGAGACAAATGAAACACCAATCATCGGGGATGTGGGTCGGGATGCTCTACGAGATCTTCGTCATATTGCCTGCGACAATCAGATTTTTGGATATTTGATCGAAAAAATGGTAGAAGTATTCTCTTCGTCTATAAATATTAGGAATTTTAGTTATAAATTCGTTCATATTTTTATTAAAATTTCTTATATTTAAGGACATAGAAAATAACGGTCAGAAGTAGAGGTGCGGCAGTACGTGGACATATATTATGTACTAACTAGAATTTCTCATATTTAATAACTGAGGTAATCATATGTATAGGCAAGGTTGTCATTATCCCGATTTGTATCCTAATATCTTACGATACTACGATCCTATCAAGCCGAAACGATAACGATTCCACCTAGTATCCTAATTTTCATAGTATTTCGATCCTACTATTCATTAATACACGATCCTACGAAATCTTAGGTGGTATCCCGATTCTACGATCCCTACGATACTACAAAATATTATTTAAAATAACTTGGTTTGAAAATAACGTAACTAAATATGCTCAAATTTATATAAAAATCAGTTAGATATATCAAAACCAACGTGGTTTCTCTTGATAAATGTCTCCATTTGCATGACATATATCATTACTACATATTTTTTTTATATATAGAATGGCTATATATAATTAATATAAATATTAATTAAACTTAAAAAAAATCTCATAGTATCCCGATACTACGATACGATATTACTTTGAGCAAAACGATACTACCTAGTATCCCGATCCTGACAACCTTGTGTATAGATGCATCGGTATGTGGATGTTTATTACTATGTACTATCATGGGGGATACATATCACTTCTTCTATCTCAAAATATAATAAACTAGGAGTAAATAAGACATGATTATATTTTGATACGAAGTGAATATATAATACCTTCGTCTTAGGGATTTTGGTGTGCTTAGTTCCTTAAAAAAAAGTTTGAAGTTTGAAGAAAGTTGGGAGTTTGAAAAAAAAGTTGGAAGTTTATGTGTGTAGAAAAGTTTTTGATGTGATATGATGTGATGGAAAGTTGAGAATAGGGGGAAAACTAAACACGGCCTATGCTCGGATTGAGGTAGTTACTGTAACCAAGTAGATGACGGGCATATGGGAGTGTCAGATAAACGACGTATCACGAGACACACGAGTGAGAAAGCTACACGCGACGTACCGTCGATTAGCGAATTGCGACCCAGGCCCTGGCAGAGAAACGTGATAGCCAGCCAGCCAAATTAAACGCCAGCCAAGTAACCAACTCACCCGACAACTAGCGACCCAGCCAACTTGTACAAGTAGGAGGATATGCCAATTACTTACTAGAGAAAGAGGATGGACAATTGGACGAAGTCCCCGCTACATATACCTTCTGATCACGAAACTCTCAATCAGGCTCCATGGAAACACAACACGCAACCAATTGCTTCAGGAACACACAGCAAAATGGCATAAGAAACTTACACCCGCTCCCTCACTTGGCAATTTATTCTCAACGGGGAACAACGAGCCGTCAGCTGCTGGATGAACTTTTCAGGATAATAGAGAAACATGAATCGTGAAAGCATTTGCTAACGTGGGAGTAATATTATTATGTCCATCTGCACAAGGGTTCTTTTAACCCTCAACAGAGCATACTTGTAGAATCACCACTAAGATATATTTACAAATAATAACAATAATCGAGAGGGCACACAGATACTGTACAACCCCGATACAAGGGAGGAAAAACAGATCCGCTGCTTGGGCTGCTACTGTGGTTGATCCGATGATGGTTTTAGGAAATTGTAGCACTCCAGCTGCAGCATCTCTCCTCCGTTTACAGGGTCGAACTGGCATCGGTAGAAGCTGTAACACACGGAAGGTATATAAGATCAAACCTGTAGTAAGGAATTCCAACAAGCAACAACGAATGTTCAATCCTGATGCACATACCTTCCATCCATGCCAACAACTGCCACGGTATTCTTCTCATGGCCAAATGCAACAATATATTGCTCCCCCTCGTGGAGTCTGAACTGAGCTACAGACCACTCCGAGTGGAAATATTTTGGTAGTACACCTGACAGCAACAGAAAATCAATGTGTGAAAATGAGCTAACCCAAGAGTAACATGCAATCCAACCAAAACCAGAAAAACAGCATTTTTCATCATTGTAAACATGTAACCTTAACCAAATAATGACACAAAACGGGTACCTATATATCATGAACTTTGAAGATGCAACCAGTACTTGGGTACAAATAAATAAAAAAATCATAAGACCATTCATACAGTGTTGATTTCAGGCTTCCAGCAAGGGCAACAACAAATGCGCAAAAAGGAGAAGATACTAGGATACAAGTTATTAATAATGGGATTAGTATACCATGAAAATTCAGAGACGAACATATTGATGTATATTAAAAGTCCTTATCATTTGCTTTCTAAAAATGAAACTTAAAAGGCAAAGATGGGCCTCAAAAGCAAATTAAAGGAATATATATCATTGTTCTTTTCTTCCGAATACACAGGAGAGCTGCATATGATTGCAGTATATCACTATTTTCAAACATGGAAACATTCAACCACAAAAGTATATATATAAGTGGATGGAGAGATATAGTTACCCTTAATGAAAGAAAGAGATGGACTGATATGTGGAACATCAGGATCTGGAGCAGGCAGGGGCTTATCATTCGTGGTTAATCCAACATTTATCTTTAGATTGAACACATGTATTGTTCCTTTATCACTTGATACAGCCAAATATTGCAAATTGTTGGAGAACGCCAAGCTATATATTTCTGCTCTATCAGCACCTCTCCGTACCTATAACAGAAGAAATCAGAAAATATTAATTGACAAATTCCTATAAATAAAAATAAAATGGCAAAACTTCATCATGCCGTAAGCTTAATAATGATTAAAAATTAGCAAACTGACAAGAGCAAGAGCATACACATCTTCTTATGTGGTAAGTACTTACTGGTATATATAGGTTCTTATTATGTGATATACTAGCAAGATGCAATGCATTTAGTCTCCCGCAAGTAGAATTTAATCAAGCTAGTAAAGCTCAAAAGTTGATTGCACAATAAATTACAAGTTGATAAAAAAAATTGAAATCTGAATAAAGAATAAAACTGATACTCCCTCCGTTTCATATTATAAGACGTTCTAGCATTGCCCACATTCATATATATGTTAATGAATCTAGACACACATATATATCTAGATTCATTAACATATATATGAATGTGGACGGGATCAAGTATTTGATTCAGGAATCTGCCCTTGTGTATTCCAGATACTTTTTACTGGATTTAGATATACCTGTCTGGTGGAATGACATGTTCTGAGCTATGTGGTGTTTAGATATAAGCATATTCATACATCTTTGTTTCTTAACATCGCTCTAGACGCCCTCAAAATTAAACAATACTGTATCTAGTTTGATGAGCCTGGTGAGATGTGCCTTTCAATGTGTATTTTGAAGGTTTAAATTTATCATAGCTAGTAAAAACTTCTGTTACTGCATCCCGGCCATGTTGACTGGTTGAGCTATGTTATTCGTACACTACATTACATATATCATCTCTGTTTCCGCCCTAATCTGGTTAACTGTGTTAGCTCTGTATTTATGACTGACATGGTCCTTATCTGATCTAAAAACAAAGAGCCGCATGTTACAGGGTACTAAGTCATTCAATGGTAACTAGAACACATTCCAACCAATCTAACATCTTTTTCAGATACACCCAAGAACATTCAATCTAACATCTTTTTTGGAATCTTCATCCAAAAAAAGGAAAAGCAAATGGTACATGTAAGAAAGTTACTGGCTACACGTCTTGATTTAAGAGCAGAGGAGGATAACAGAACACTCCAGATGATTCTAGCATTACATTTCCATGTGATCTTACTACTTTGTAGAATCCACCATATCAATAAATAGCCATCTTGACTCCAAAACCCCAACGTTGATATACAGCATATATCTATTTTACTGAGGAAATGGTTCAGACCATATCATCAGCTAAAGGTTATGCGCTTTATTGATACTTGAAAGGACCATATTTCCTCAAGAACTATGACAAGCAGCACCCAAAACTACTAAAACATCCGAGAAACAAAAGGCCTACTATTGTTTGGTCCAACTACCAATGTTTGGCACCTCGAGTCCTACAGACTTGCGAAGTGAAATGAAGTACTCCCTCCGGTCACTGATATATGACACACGGTGTCAAATAACGATGGCCAGAGGTAGTATGTTATTTTTCCAAAAGAAGGGAGCGCAGTTGGAAAGCGACATGTCATATGACTCATTCAGCACGCATCCAGTTATAAATCCTTACCCTTCTAAGCTGTAAGTTTCAGGTGGAAAAAGGGAGACAGGATGTGCCATAAGTTTCAAATGGAAGAAGGGAAACAGGATAGGGCATCACAAAGCTTGGGTTGGGTTATTCATTCAACTCTAGTATATCTAGAACTGTAATAATTAGAACAATGGCTAGAAAAATTTCCTGATTTGTAAATTGAAGCAATCAGTAGGTATTCACTGTCATTTCATTTAAAGAGCTTGAAAAATTGCAGTATGATATGCAGCAGCATAAACACAGCAAAAATTGCTGCTGATATATGTTAAAGCAAAAAAACATCCGCCATCGGCTTTATAATGCTTCAACCAATTATTCACCATGGGCAGTCTTGTACAAAATATGAAGCTTTTCATGAACTAGAGTAATGTCACACATAACAACTTAGAAAGGTTATAGTATACTAATGTTGCTTAACAGCAATGTGTTTTATATGCATTCAGCCTAAATTATAGTGCGTTAATCAATTCTAGCATTGACAGTCAAAGTATACAAGTTCATCTAAATGAATGTTTTGGGGAGCTTACTTCCTGCAGGAGATTGCCCTCGGCAGCATTGTAGATTCTAACAAGTGTCCCCTTGGTGCTGGCAGTAGCAATGAGCCTCCCATCCTGTGATAATGCAAAGCACGCGACACGGGAAGTATGCGCATTGATGAATTTGGTCTTCCTGGCACCATAGTGCTCCACTCTAACCTGCCCTTTCTGTGCACCAGGGCAAACCAGCACAATCGATCCGGGCTGCTGCGAAACCGCGCAGAGGCCCTTCGGGTTAGGCGCCGTCTCGATCTGGTGAACAAGCTTCAGGTCCGCGAAATTGTAGACGAAGATTTTGTTCTCTAGCACCACGATGATGCGATCGCGGCGGAGGCGGACACCGCGCACGGGGGAGCGGAAGGAGAGCTCCCCGATACACCGGCTCTGGTGGTCGTCCCAGATCATCACCTTGTTAGGCGGGTAGTGAGGGGCGTCTCCGCCGCCGACGAGGGCCAGTATGTTACACCGGAACAGCATCTCCACGACGCCGATTCCTCCTCCTCCACCGCCGACGCCGTTGTCCCCCGCGGCCCCGAGGTCCCGGCGGAAGATCTCGCGGAATGGATCGCAGTTGTAGATGCGGAAGCCCGACTTGGTCCCCGCCGCGAAGCAGCCGTAGTCCTGGTTGAAGGAGATATGGAGGAGATCCTTCGCCGCCGGGTGGGGAGCCGCCCTCTCGCCTCCACCTCCACCTCCACCTCCCGCAGCAGCAGCAGCCGCGGCGGCCGTGGGCGAAGTAGACGAGGCGGATGAGACAGAAGACGAGGAGTCATCGCCGCTCTCCTCGTCGCCAGACGGGGTGGGGTCGATCGAGGTGGTGGGGAGAGGCGGCTCCGGCTCCGGCTTCGTCTCCGTCACCGGCGGCGGCGGCGGGGGGTCGTCGGAGACGGGGTTAGGGTTTGGTGGGGCCGGCGAGGCGTCGTGCGGCGGCGTCGCCATGGGCAGAATCGGAAGCGTGGGGGAAGAGAGCTCGTGGAGTCGGAGGTTGCGGGGGGTCACTCACGCGCGGGTGTGGGGGTAGACGTAGCTGATGCGGTCGGTGAATCGGAGCCGGAGTTGGGTGTTATTCACGAGAATGCCATCGAGTGGGGTTCGGTGGTGAGGTGAGGTGAACCGGCAAGCGAAGCGAAGCTAGCTTGGCCTGTTCGTTGCCGTGCGTTGCGATGGGGATCGGGTTGGCGTTGGCGTGGAGGGGAAGGCAGGCGGCGCATCTCGTTCGTGGCGTACGGGTTTTTCTCATGTAGGAGTACGTATGTTTTGTACGATAGCTCTACGGCCACGCACACACGTTGTGAATAGTTGGGCAGGATGGAATTAACAAGGAGTACTCCCTCCGTAAAAAAATATACGAATCTAAAATTAAGTGGAACATTTTTTTAATACTACGGATCTTGATATATTGGGTGTGTTTAGTTCCTGAAAAAAGTTGAAAGTTTGGGAAAAGTTGGGAGTTTGAAAAAAAAATTGAAAGTTTATATGTGTAGAAAAGTTTTTTATATCATATGATGTGATGGAAAGTTGTAAGTTTGGGGTAGTTGGGGGTGAACTAAACACGGCCATTGTATATTCAAATTCGTAGTAGAAGTGTCTCATCCGATACTAGATTCTTATATTTTTGAATCGAATAGAGTACTCAATAGATGAAGGTTTTGTTTGGGGGAGTTTAAAATTCTGATAAGCAACCGGTGAGACTAGTTTCTAGCTTTTAGTTTATTTTTTTATTCTACAATTACAGCTTCCCATAATCTAAGTGAAAATCTGAACTGATTACGAGAGTTTCTAGCAACCAAAGATTCTAGAATAAGCTGTAGCTACCAAAACCCGAACTGTCTTGTTCTCTAGTGTGATTTGTGAGGCTACGCCGCTGCATAGGATTTGCACATTTCTTAGGCTTTTAAACATTGCATTTAGTAAGAATAAAAACCTCTATAATAAATTTCTAGTGCAAAATTTTAAACTCTCTCTATATAAGTTAATTCATTTATTCATACCCTTTTAAAAAAAAAGTCAAATAATCCACCCAACGCAGCTAGAGCTGATTGCGATGTACTCTCTTCGTACTATAAAAATAAACCTAATATAAGCCGTAACACATTCAAAGACTTAATCCGAACAAGTTTTTCGGATTCTTAGTACTTATATGTGGCACATCTCATGCTTATATTTGTTTTTTAATGGATCGGATGGAGTACTATGCATGCATAGACATTGGTGATTAGCAAATCATTAGGTGATGTGGGTTCGCCGTCTTCGTATCTATATCATCCTTACGAAGAACCGTGTTGTTGGTTAGAAAATAATTATGTCATCATCGTTAGCAATGGTAATTGCAACGGTACGGTACAATTCAACCGTCGCGCGTGATGATTGAATACAAAATTGAATCGAAAGAATTTCAGAAAAATAATCATTTGACTTGGATGGCCCCCGAGATGGAGGGAGTTTGTTACTCTATATCACACCGCTAGATTAGAAAATAATTAGATCAGCATTACTATTAAAGATAGCCGCAAAAGTGTGTAATGGCAGAATTCAATTGATGGCACCTAGAGATGGAGGTGGTGGTTGTCATGACAGTCGTGGCAATCATGTTTATCACGCTTTGTTAGCTAATCCGTAATGCTAAACTCAGGTCAAATACTGATTAGTTCTTTGAGAGCTGTGAGATAAATAAGAAACTCAAAATGCCACAAGAAACCCCTGGAACTTCACTGATTGCTCTCAGAAAAAAGCTCGACTTTGGCGTCCAATTTAGGAGCGTAATTCTAGCACTTCTTTTGTCTAGGTTGTGTTGATTCGTTAATCCCTAGCATAACTAGGGTTAACGCACTGGCCATCAGAATTCAGAAGCAGGGTAAGATGCTCGATCATAAATTGGGTGCATAAGAAATTCAATTTGAAGCAGGGAATTCAGCAATGTCAATCCTCCAGGAAGACAATCAGATGTAACAAATAAGAAAACCATCACTCTCAGGAAAAAGAACAAGATCGTACTCAGGTTGACCTTGGCATCATTTTGCAGCGTAATTCTACCACCTTTTGTTATAACTTGGATTAAAACCCCCCATCAGAATTCAGAAGCAGCTGCGCAAGATGCCCATCACAATTTTCCAATCCTAAATTAAAATTCAACTTGAAAAGCACGGCATGCAGCAATGTCAATCCTCTAAAAAGACTGAACCACCAAATCATTATTGCCGCTTCAAATTGCCCTATGCAACTTGTACCATTCAATTGAAACAAGCAATAATTGATCAAGTTGATGAACGAACAAGTAATCAAACCAGAGCCGCGGGTCATGAAAGATTCCGATTAGGCGCTTAATTCATTCAAAAAAACAAAAACAAAAAAAACAACAGTTGACTCATATTTGTACTCCATCACATAGCTTCACCACATATATATGGTGTCAATTAAACTCCTATTTACATCATCCATAATTTGGTCCTGGCAGTAAACAAAATTCAAAACAAAAACCAATACGAGATTATACGAAGATCACCCATTGCATCGATCTGTGTCATCTAGAAATCGAAGCCACCGCCGTCGTCGAACCCTGCGTCGTAGCCGGCGTCATACGCCGACGCGTCGGAGATGGCGTCTCCGATGAGGAGGCCGCCGAGCGCGCCGCCGAGCAGCCCGGCTCCGAGTCCCATCCCGAAGTTGTTCTTCTTCGCCGGCTTCACGGCCTGCTGCTGGTAGCCGCCGTACCCAGCCTGCGGCGGGTAGCCGTAGCCGCCGCCGTAGCCGGCTTGCGGCGGCGGGGGTGGGTAGCCGTAGCCGGCTTGCGGCGGCGGCGGCTGGGCCGGGTACCCGTAGCCGTACTGCGGCGGTGGCGCCGTGCCGTATGGCGCGGCGGTGCTCGGCCCCGCGGCGGCTGGGTACGCCGTCACCGGCTCACCCGCCTTCGCCGGCTTACTACTTCCGGTCGCCGGCGGGTAGCCGGCGGGAGGTGGGTAAGCCGTCGATGGCTCGTTTCCCTTGCCCGGTGGTGGGTAGGCGGACTGGGGTGGGTAGGCCGCGGCGGCTGACCCATCGGCCTTCGCTGCCGTTGGGTAGGCGGTCGGTGGTGGGTAGGTGGATTGGGGCGGGTAGGCCGCGGCGGCGGCGGCGGAGGGCGGGTAAGCTGGCGCCGGTGGAGCTTGGCCGTACGCGACCGGAGGAGAGGCACCAGGGTAGGAGCCGGATTGGGTTACCTCGCCGATCTTGTAGGAGAAATTGAGGACGCCCTGTGGCTTCCCGGAGGAGATCTTGCGGACCTGGTAGGAGACGAACTTGGCGGGGACGGCGCCGTCGGGGGCGCCGGAGAGGAGCTCCGAGAGGGGGATGTGGACCTCGCCGACGTCGCGGTCGCCGAGGGCGCGCTCGGCGCGGAGGAGGACGTGGAGGGAACCCGCGCCGGAGGCCGGGACGGTGAACCGGAGCGGGGCGGCGTTCCACGCCGGGTTGCGGCCACCGGCGCGGTCGGTGGCGATCCGCTGCCGCGAGCGGCGGTCGCCGGAGAGCGAGACGACGGCGTAGACCTCCATCTTGGAGAGGAGGTTCACGTCCTTGAGATCCTTGGCCGAGATCAGCGTCAGCTCCAGCGTCCTCTGCGCCATGGCCGCCACCGCTGCGAGATCGGAGAAATCGAATCGAAAGTTTGTGTGGACTTTGGGTGAAATTCGATCGAAATCGAACTGATCAGATTTGTATCCGAATTCGACGACTCCCGTTGTTGGGGGATTTTTGAGACGGCGCGATGTTATATAGGAGTGGGGAATTGGAGGAGGTTACCTGGATATTTCTCGTACGCGTATTCTGGATTAGACACTGACGTGTGGACCCAGGTGATCGACGGACCCACATTGTCAGTGACACTGTCTAGTAAGGTTGCAGGTCCTTCGCGAACACGCGTCATGCTGGTAGGCTGATCTCGTTACACGCGGAAGTAAGACGCGCGAAGTAAGGCGGGCATGTATGACACGTGGGGCCCATCGAACGGTGGGACCGATTCGTCAGTGTTTGCGCCGGGATAGGGGGGGCAGTGGACGGAAGCCAAGCCTACCGTGCGCCCGCAGAGTTCGGCGCAGTGGGGCCCACCTGTCAGTGGGCGTCGCCGCGTACGACCGGTCCACGGAAGGCGCCCCTTTCCCGCGCGTTGACCACAGCATCAGCAGCCAAATCGTGTGGCCGCGAATCGCCTTCTCTTGCAGGCTAAGGAAAAAAGGCGACGCGGGCAAGACGCTGCCTCTCCTGTGGACCGTTGATGCGCCTATCCACTTCTTTTCCGCACTGTAGCTAAGCTAGTGTTGTTTCTTGTCTCCACTTCTTCCTGCTCATCGCGACGAACTTGCTGATGAAATCTCAAAACCATCTCAATTACAGTTGCGGTAAATAACTCTTTAAACATATCATATAAGGAAGATTTTAAAGTGGTGTTTGGATCTAGTGACTAAATTTTAGCCCTTATCATATCAGATGTTTGGACACTAATTAGAATTATTAAACTTAGACTAATAATAAAACTAACTGTATAAATGAAAGCTAATTCGCGAGATAAATTTTTTAAATCTAATTAATCTATAATTAGCACATGTTTACTGTAGCATCACATAGGCTGATCATGGATTAATTAGGCTCAATAGATTTATCTCACGAATTAGTCCATGGCTATGGAATGGGTTTTATCGTTAGTCTACATTTAATACTTCTAGTTAGTGTCCAAACATTTGATATGACATACACTAAGATTTTAGTCCCTGATCCCACTAAGTTATATTGTTGTAATCTCTGTTTGTAGGACAGTAGGAGTTTTTTTTTTTTGGGTGGGGGCATTTGTAAATTTGCCACCGATTTTTTCAATTTTGCAAAGATGCTACTCGAATGATAATTCTAGTGATATTTTTATAATTTTCTAATGGCAGTCTAGCAATAACGATTCTAAGTAATAGTAAATTTGCAATTGCCTCTTTTTTTTAAGATAATGAGGACATTAGGAGTATTGGATTGTAGTATATTTGTATGCCCGTCAGGCTTCACCAACATCGTCAAAGTAAGGTGGCGTCAAAACAGCTACTGTGCAGAAAATTCAGGGTCTCCCTTCTAGAACATTGAAGTATTCGCCCAGGAAAGCTGAATATTTGAAGCAACGTTTGATGCCGATGGCAGTGCAATAATTCTTGCCGAATGTCATGTAGCACATGCGACTCGTTTTTTGTTTGCCTAGCATATGAGAGATGTCAAAGGAAATGTACAATACAAACTGAAAAATGTGACATCAATATGGGCTATGGAGTTGAGCATAAATACCATAAGTGAGAACCAGCCAGTAGAACAACAGAGTTTCATCATTAAGAGAGAACATAGGTGGTTAGCAGATGCAAGAGCCAAGAGCAATAATGCTGACCAAATGTGAAGTCCCTGGAACTCTGGAAGTACAGCTTGATCCAAAATCTAACAAGCAGCAAAGGCAACAAAGGATAGGGAAATAGGAACTGGTTATTTCAGAAGTCCCGCTTATGCAGATGGTTCAATGGCAATTATGGCATCCTACTCACGACATTTGTAGTTGAAAGAGAATCAAGAGTAGTTTCTTGCTATTGAGCAATGTCTCGTAAACCGCTTCCGGCCGGTTTTGACGAAAACCGTTGATCATCATGAAATTCGACTAGATTTTGTCAGGATTTAAATTTTAGATAGTGTTTTTTGAGAAAACTTGACTGGTTTACAAGTAGTTTATGATCACGAGCCAGCTTGAAGGATTTCACGAAAACTGAGGATGTGTTTGGTTGCAAGCCATACTTTGCGTAAATTTGAAAGGAGTTTGTTTGTAGCCATAGTTGTGGCAAGATTCTTTTCCAATAAATTGGATCCCACATGTCAACGATAAAAAAAAAGTGTGGCAAGATTCCCTTAGACTTAGGGGCTGTTTGGTTTGGTGCTATACATTGCCACACCACATGTTAGACATGCCACAGATTGCTAGCTTAGCGTCTGGTTGCTTGTTTCAGTTGTGGCAAGCCACATTTTCTTGTTTCATGGGCCTACATGTCATATACTCATTTTCTAGCTAAACATTGCTACGCTTGTAGCCAGCAAATTGTTGGCCGCACTTTGTTTGCCATGCCACATCTATGGCAAATTGAGTTATGGCAATGTTAGACAACAACCAAACAGACCCTTAGTAAGTTGCAGCTAACAATTTAATCGCCTCACCTTACGCAATGTATGACAACTTTTATTGGCAAGCAATGATAAAGTGTGACCGGGAACCAAACAACCCCTTAGTAGCATGTCATGCATGATGCATTAAGGCTGTGTTGGTAGTTTGGTTTGGTAAGTAATCCTCCATGCACGTAAAAGGGAGCGACTCACTAGCATATAATTAATTAAGTATTAGACTTTTTTTAAAATAGGGTAATATGAACTATTAAAACAGCTTATCTATATATATTTTTTTTAAAAAAACACACCAGTTTGCAGTTTGGGAAGCGTGTAGGAACATTGACTATCGAGAATACATATCAAGGCCCTGTTTGGAGAAGCTTAATGTTAGAAGCAACTATTTGATAACTAGCTTATAAGGATGTAGATAAAAAGTTAGATTACTTAGGGAGTTTTTATTATGCAAGAAGTTGCAGCTCCTAAAAGCTTCCAAACATACCCTAATATTGTGTTCAACTCCCTGGGGTGGTAACTAATACTCCACACACGTAAAATGGAACAAGCTATTTTTTAAATTTGATTAATATGATATTTTTAAGCAACTTTCGTATATAAGTTTTTTCATAAAACATATCATCTAACAGTTTAAAAATCGTGCGCTGGTAAAACGAGGGAGGTAAGTTGGGAAGCCACTCTACTAGCACGGTAGATTGTACAGCGGTAAATTGGGTCGCAGGCGAACACATGCCCCATCTGAACTCAGTTAACCGGGCCACACTTAACAATGGGCTGCCTAGTTAAGCCCAATTCGTCGCCTCCGCGTGTTGCAACTTGCAACTTGCAACGTGCGTGCCGCGTGGGTGGCCTAATCTGCTCTGTAAATGGCAGATTACCGGGTCGTTTAGCAGCAGGAAGCTTCATGTGGCGCGTTTTAGGTGGCATCCAACGTTCGAAACAGAGTAGATTAGGAGACGCCATTAACGACGGCTCGCTCAACCATACCACCTTTTCAAATTCATTTTTCAATGAGTACTAAAAATTTTAAAAAGGGTAAAAACTTGAAGAAAATTTATGGAAAAAAATTGTACCACATGCAGAATCTCTCGAAAATGTCAAGGCCCAAATGGCGCCACGTAAAAAAAAGGAAGTGTTCGCCTCGTCACAAGGCAAGCAAATCCGCTTTCTCCATTACAAAGCGGAGACCCCGCCGCAACGCCAAGAGCCAAACCGCCTCCTCCTTCCCAAAAGGCCAAAACCGCCCACCTCCTCTCGCCCCTTCTCGCCGCCTCCGCCGCCGCCGCCGCCGACGAGGAGGAGGCCGATGGGCTCCGAGGAGGAGCCGTCGCAGATGCGGAGGGCGCTGGTGGACGCGCTCGCGGGGGCCATCTCCGGCGGCATCTCCCGCACCGTCACCTCCCCCCTCGACGTCATCAAAATCCGCTTCCAGGTCCTCCCCCCCACAAAATTCCGCCGCTCGCGGTTGCATTTCCCTACCCGGCTAGCTCCCGCGGGGAGCGCTCGCGCTGTTCTATGGTGTTTTGTAGCTAGAATTGGTAAGATCGGTTGATTGGGGTTGTCTGGGAGAAGTTTTTGAGGCTGGTGCTTTGTTTTGTGGGGGGACCTGTATGCTGTGTGTACTAGACGTCGGCTGCATCCGTCGATTTGCCCCTGCATTGCATATGTCCATGAAATTGAGGTTGAGGAGTACCCGCGGTCGCCTTTATCTGTGTGAATTTGTGGCTTCAACGCCGGGGAGCTATTTGGTCAATGAATTTGGGGATGAGCTCCACATGTCTTAATCCCAATGGTTTGGTCTCGGAAATGTACTTAAATTTTCGTTACGATGTGGATGTATTATAGCCGTTTTTATTGGTCAACTAAGCAGTGTGTTCGGAGTTATTTATGTCCAGTAACACAGAATATTTGTTCTTCTGAAGTTATTTTTGTTATGTTAGCTCCAGCTACATTGTTGGAAGCTTGGCCATCTATTCAGTTTGATGATAACAAGGAATACCACTTCTAATGACTTGTTGACAATTGGATGGCTGTATACACCTTTTAAGCCAGTAGATATGGTAGCTTTAGCTTTGCTGTCATGAAGGGACCTTAAGGATTGCACTGGCTATGTGCCAAGGGAGTTTGTACCACATGCGCTTTCCAACAGGATTGATGGCCTTTGCACTTAAAGCTATAGAGTAGAGTTAACTGCATTGGTTGCAACCTTACTGTATCAACCCGTGACATTTTTTTACAGATTGCATTGGCTTGAAATATGCATATTTTGGATATTCAGATGATTTCTTGTGATTTTCCACAGGTTCAATTGGAGCCCACAACCTCGTGGGGTGTACTTCGAAGGGATGTCTATGGACCTTCCAAGTACACTGGGCTTTTGCAAGCAAGTAAAGATATTCTCCGAGAGGAAGGTTTGCCGGTATCTCCTTTTCTTTGAACATTTCTCTGTTCATGTGCTGTTTACTAGTGACATATGCATGTGCTGCTGCTTATTAACTTGCATGCCTGAGTGGGATCACTCATCCAAATATCAGTTTTAATATCATTTTATTATGCTGAACATGGACCAAATGCAAAAGCAGGGCGGGCTTATGGATTTCACTTCTGCTGCTAATTCTGCTAACTTTATTGAGTAACATTGATTTGGTGACATCTAGCATGTATCAAAGGCTACTCAGCCACACGTTGCACTGTCTCTTCCTGTCATATAACTTATGGTGATGCATTAAAACAAAACCCATTAATTTGATCTACTCCTGGTTCAGTTCAAATGAAAATGGAAGGCACCAAGCTGCAAGATATACTACTCTGACACTATTCTCCAAAAAAGTACCACATGTGTTTTTATGGCTGAAATAGAGGCTTGAAGTTTACTTGTTAGGTGATATTGGCTGCTGGTTTTGAAATACATTTTTTCCTGCAATGTATTGGGAATCACAGTGTGTGTTGCCTTTATTTTTTGCCCTAGATCTGTATACTTTGTTAATCTATGTGTGATTTGTTCTTATTTTCTGTTTGTTTTAAATGTCATATCTTAAACAAAAAGAATTATTCATTAAGAAAAGTCGTCACCATGCAAAATTCTGATCTTTCAGGGATTTTGGAGAGGAAATGTTCCAGCCCTATTAATGTATATGCCATATACAGCTATACAATTCACTGTTCTACACAAGCTGAAAACATTTGCTTCTGGTTCATCCAAAACAGGTACATTTTCTCTTTATGGTATCTGTTCCAACTTGGTCCATTGTTCTAGACTGAAGTATGAATTACAGTGGTCACTCCTCAAACCTTAATTTTTAGTGTGTACAAAAGTTATGAGGTTTGCCCAGAACTTTGAGCTTTGTATTGTCTCTATAGTCCTTACCTGATCTGTGTTATTTGCCCAGAGGATCATTTGCACTTGAGTCCTTACCTATCGTATGTAAGTGGGGCTATAGCAGGATGTGCAGCAACAGTAGGATCATATCCATTTGACCTTCTCAGAACAATTCTTGCATCACAGGGTGAACCGAAGGTAAATATGTACTCTGCGGTTGTAGACACCTTTTTTTTTTTGTTTCATTGAGGTATTAACATGATCTCTGGTCATATATTCTCACTTTATTAGCTCCTAATAGCATGGATGTGATACTTGTTCATAATGACTGAATCGTCATCTTCAGTATACATACATAACATAGTATGCAAAGGACTTCCTGGCACCTTTTTTGTTTTCTCAATCGTTTCTCTTCATTCCCTGATTCGTGTAGTTTTGTCAACATTGCACACCACACTACATAGGAGCAGTTTAAGGTTGAGGTCTTTTTGGCTGGAAATCTAGTTTTCTTTGCAGAACTTAAAACAACACTGATTCATATTGTTGTTTGAAAAACATGAATTTTTCCTTTTTTATTATTGGATTTTATTATGCAAATGATTATTTTGTGCTGAACTTTTCCACTATCATGTATTTATTCAGCATATAGAGTACTGGAATATCATGGCACAAAATTGTATTCACATGCAGTTATGTTTATCTGTAGGTTTACCCTGACATGAGGTCTGCATTTCTTGATATAATGAAAACCCGCGGTTTCCGAGGACTTTACGCCGGTCTAACTCCAACTCTTGTTGAAATCATACCATATGCTGGCTTACAGTTTGGTTCATATGATACTTTCAAACGGTCGATGATGGTAACAATACTAATATCTCTTTTTTGGCATGTGCTTAATTAGACTATTTTGAGGTGATTTATGCCATTTTAGATATTGTAGCTTAGCCTCAACTTTATTTGTCTCCAAGTCTGATCATATTTACACTTTTCTTGAGAATGATGACACTGAAGTATTGAGATTAAGGAAAGGTAGTGAATCTATATATCTTTCAAACAAGTGAAGACCTAAAAATCTAACGACGCTTAAATAAGCAATCTGTAATTACTAGTTATGTGGAACAATCTTAATGCTTGATAAGAAAAAAATTATCTTTGACACTTAGAAACTTTTTATTGCTGTGGGATTCCGTGAATGCTGTTAATGCTTGAACCATCTGACTTTATTTTTTTTTCAATGTAGACATGGAATAGGTACCGATATTCACATCTTAACTCAGGAAGTGAGGATGATTCAGTATCAAGCTTCCAGTTATTTCTTTGTGGATTTGCAGCCGGAACATTTTCAAAAGCTGCTTGTCACCCACTTGATGTTGTAAAGAAAAGATTTCAGGTAAATGCCATTTGTTTTGTCTTGAAAAAGGCTTATTTTGACAGTTCTCAGACATGAATCATGTTAAATTTTTGTGAAGAATACTCTTGATTGAGTTGCATTATGATAATGAAGTATTCATTACATTTACAATTTACAAGTTTGTAAAATCACATCCAACAGGAAATCTGATACTGGGTTGCAATGAGATATAGTTAGTGTGGTGTAGTAGGTTGTCAGCAGCTGCAGTGTATGATCTCCACAGGTCTGGAGTATCATACATCATGCTTGACCAGGTCAACTAAGAGTACCATTCTGGTAACTATGCACCAGAATAGGTCATTGGTCTGGTAGCTATGAATCACCTCCTTTCCATTGTCCTGAAGCTTCATACATTTGGGCTGCTTCACCTACTTCATGCTTCGTGTTGCAGACTTCGCTTCCTACATTTTCTTATTATATCTAGCTGTATTTATCTCAAGAAATAATTTGAAGTTATGGAGCACTGATATTTGTTCCATCATACTGCAGATTGAAGGATTAAAACGACATCCAAGATATGGCGCCCGAATTGAGAGCAGCACATACAAGGGCATGTACCATGCCCTAAAAGAGATTGTTGCGAAGGAGGGGTTTGGAGGCCTTTATAAAGGACTTTTCCCATCTTTGGTGAAATCGGCTCCTGCTGGTGCCGTGACATTTGTGGCATATGAATACATCTCAGACTGGTTAGAGTCAATACTGATGTGACAAATCGCCATGCAGTGTTATTCATTTTCCTCCCCGTTTTGTGTTGTATTGTCCTTATTATTTCGCCCTGCTGTTGCACACTTGAATTAGTTTAATTGATCCATTTCTGGAAGAGGCTGCAGTTCCTTTAGATCTTGCAGTCTATACAAGATTTGAGGAGCCTACAAAACCAGCTGGATGAGTAATGCTTGTAAGCTCCTCTCATGGGTTTTGGACATCACTTAACATTACCAGAACTAAGCAGTCAGATTGGTGATTTAAGCATTTGGCTTGCTAGATATCTGCTTACGTGCTCAGCCAGACCTACCTGTTGCTTTTTTTTACTGAACATGCTACATAGTTCTCTTGCGTGTCACTGTGTCAGTGTGTGCATAAGTGCATTATTGTATGACATCAAATCACTGAATCTGAAATTGTTTTGCAGGATAGGGAGCAAAGCTGGAGTCGAGTGAGTTCTTGGATGAAGGAGCCATTGAGAGATACAACATACAATGATGAGAGAACAGTGTCCACTCTTAATTGTTTTGTGACCGCAAGGTCGAAAGTTAAAAAGTGCATACAATCCCTTGAGAGCTGATACTTGGAAAGCCTTGCATAGAATTAGCTACTCTTGTCATTTCTCTGCCTTTTTGCCCCATTGACCTGTGTTGTTGCATTCGTTGAGATGTAACAGTGAGGATGAGTAAAACTAAGGAAAGTGTAGAGCTTGTGACGCTTGATGAAGGCCGGGGAGCGGCAGGCATTTTTGTTAAGATGATATTATCTCACTCCTATATGTCCCTCACTCACATAATGCAGTTAATGTGAACTGTTACATGATTCGTAGCTTATCTGCCTTTATGGCTCATGCAAACTGTAACTCTGGGAGACTGGGACTGAAAGTCGTTATTTGCTTCGTGATGAGTAGCATTTCCTGCTTCTTTACTCTGAACATATGTTGGTGACATATTCATGATGTGGTCGATTGCAAATGCTGCAGAATATAGTGGCTTTAAGCTTTTTCCAGCTATGAATCAATGAATGCCAGACCATGCGCTTTTCAGACCATTCTACATGGTAAGCTGCTGCCAAATTGATACCGGCCGAGTTGTGAATGGAAGAGAATCTGTATGCCTGTATCGGGAGGAATCTAAATAGTATCGGATTATCCCTTCGCCGCATAACGAACATTGCACTTTCACATAAAAGCGATTCGCCTTAACAACTGGAGTACAGAAATTTCGTAGCGGCTAAACATTTAAAATATCTAGTATATGATGTGAAACATCTTAATACATAACATCCGATGGATCAATCATAACCATCTAGACGTTCATTGTGAGTAGTGCGTGTACATCACACCGATAATAATCACGTAATCACGTTAGGCAGCTGAAAGAGAATAAGTATATACATAAATCTCACATCAAAAGCCATGATATGTTTTTTTTTCTTTTTTTATGGAAGGCATTAGCCTTGCTGTTATGGAAATCAAGGTAGATGTCATGCAAGCTAGACCACGTAACTTCACCTATTGCAACACATATATTTTCCCTAGTTTATATTTATATGTAATTCTGACTATTTTGTTTTTTAACCCAAGCGAATTTTTGCTATATAAAAAAAATTCCTCCACCACACTACCACAGCTGCCGCTGCCGCCATAGCAACACGAGCCGTTTGCTTGCACTTGTGTTGTGTGGAAGAGATTACAGCTCACACTGACGCCTGGGCCCCACTAGTCAGTCTAAGGCGACTGCAATGCCCTCGAGGCCGCCGACCCGCCCCCGGCCCGAGTACCAAAACTGAAAAAAGGAAAAAAAAAAACTCTCCCACTTCATCCATCCCTCTCCATCTCGCTCGGTCCCCGTCCCCAACCTGCAAACCCTAATCCCGCCGCTGACTCCCCCAACCACGGCGGCGGCGGCGGCGGAGGCGGAGGCGGCTGCCTGATGCCCAGCCGCCCGCGGGGGCCATGGAGCTCGTCCCCTTCAAGCCCGAGGCCGGGGCCCTGGTCGAGTCGGGCGGCGGGGCCCACGGGGACTCGATCCCGGCCATGGTGGCGGCGCAGCAGGAACTGCTGCACGCGCAGGTGGACCAGCTCCAGCTCCTCGTCGTCGCGCAGTGCCGCCTCACCGGCGTCAACCCCCTCGCCCAGGAGATGGTCAGGAGCTCCTGTCTCTGATCTGTTTTTTTTTTCTTTCTAATCTCTGCTTCTAGTACTCGTTTGCTCGATGTATTAGCGTATGCCTTTTTGTCTTTGTAATGGATAGATTTTAGGCTTGATGAAGTAGCACATGGAGTGTTTCCGGGGACTCATCCATTGGTTGCTGAGCTTAGGTTTTGATGCTCATACTATCCTGATGTTTTGTTCATGTCATCAGTTCCAACTTATTTATTTTTACGTCGTGGCGTTTGTTTGTTCACTTGGTAGTGGCTATGATGCTCCATGATGAAAATTCACATTTTTAAGTCCGATTTTTTAAATTCGGGCTTGTGTAATGGGTTACTACTCTAAAACCCGAAATTCCAGATATGTTTATTTCTAATATTTAGGTCCTCATACTTCACTAACCATACATGGTCATGATTCTGGTTATATGTCGTCATAAGAAACACTGGCAAAATTGCACCTGAGAGAGTTGAAAATGAAGCAACGCATTTGTAGGGACCAAGAAGAGTCACTATCTTTTTCTCCACATAAATGATATTCATGTTAGTTTTAGTGTAGCATTGTGAATCCGTTTTCTTATTGTCTGTAAATGATATCACAAAGTTATTACTTGACTGGCATGAGTAATGGTATCTGAAGGGGTGACTTTCTATTTGCCTTAAATGTATGCTGCAACTTCATGAGCCCCAATTACTATTTTCGAAATGTTTTGGTTTGGTTTTGCTTTTGCCATTAAGTAGTGACGTGCATCTCATCTTGCATCCTGTTTTTGCTGCTGACTAATGATCATCTTTAAAATGTCTCTTTCTTTGTATTTGCCATTAACCTGTGACATGGGTCTCATCCTGCACCCTGTTTTTTCCGCTAAACTCTCTTGCATGTGGGACCCTATAAAATGGCAAAAATGAGATGTCACAAGTTAGCGACAGAAACAATAAGCTCCCATCAAACACATTTTTATTCACCAGTCAACTTATCTTGCACGTTTTTGTTCTTGCAGGCTGCTGGGGCATTGTCTATCAAGATAGGTGAGTTGTTTACCTGTATCAATTGAATTATAGCATGATAAACTAATATGGGCACCGTAAACTTGTATAATGATGTATACATTTGATAGAGTTAAAGCTTAATTGCTATTAGGCACGCCATTGTTGAAAAAAGAAAAAGCTTGATGCGTGATCCTGCACTGTTTAAGCTGACTTAAGATAATTATTTACTCCACACATTGCTTTAATCCTGCTGAGTTTTTTATAGCATTTAAAATTTTGTAGGTAAAAAGCCAAGGGATTTGTTAAATCCAAAGGCTGTCAAGTCCATGCAGTCACTTTTTGCTATGAAGGATACTATTGGAAAAAAAGAAACTCGGGAAATTAGCGCATCTTTTGGGGTTACTGTTACACAGGTCAGCTACTTATCTCGCATGTGCTATGCTTTTTACCTTGATGTATGCCTATTTATGTGGTCTTATCACTTGCTTTTTATGGTTCGTTGAAGAAATCCATCCTTAAACAGTTAAAATAATCATATACAGCTGAACAGAAAACATATAACTGATTTCAAGCTTTAACAGAATATTGTCCTTTCCCTTTTCTTATAGTTGGTGGTCTATTACTTTTTCCTTTATCTTTTCTAAGTTAGTTTTCATATTATTTTATTAGCCTCAATGTGTTGGCATGTTGCCTTCTATTTAAAATTAATAATATTATTCTGATTTTATTTCTATGTAATTCTTTTTATATTGATGACCTGCAACTCAATGGCTCCTAGGTGAGGGAGTTCTTTGCAAGTCAACGTACGCGAGTAAGAAAATTTGTTCGCTTATCACGTGAGAAAGCCCTGAGAATAGAGTCATCCAAGGCTCCTGACAATGTATGCTCCATAAGCACTGAGCAGACACCTGTTGACATTGAGGCACATGCTCAAGTTATTGAGCCTCTGAGAACATTAGAACCATTGGAGGCGCAACAAATTTCTTTGCCGCATCTGGTGGTTCCTCAAATCTCTTTACAATTGCCGGTGGTCCTGCAGAGCTGTGCAATCCCTGTTGCCCCAATAGGTGTAATGCAACCCACCGAGGCTAAGACTAATCCCGATCCCATTCAAAAGGAAACTAAGCAAGAGGAAGTTGCTGGAGTTGAGTCAGAAGATAAGAAGTTTTTGGAAAGTATCTTTGTTCTAATGCGGAAGGAGAATACATTCTCTGGACAGGTCAAATTGATGGAATCAATTCTACAAATAAACAATGTAACTGTTCTTAGTTGGTAAGATCCCGACCTTATATTACATACAGAGCATTAGATGATTTTATTGGTCCCTAATTTACTTTTCTAATAACTTTGCAGGTTCTTAACAATGGGTGGTTTGGCCATTGTATCGACGTGGTTGGGCCAAGCAGTTACTGAGGAGCAAACAACAGTTATTCTTGTTGTTTTCAAGGTTCTTATTTTTCTGTAACTGTACATTGTCACATCTGTGTCAAGCTTTTTTTTTACTTATGGTCTAATTGATGTAGGTGCTTCTTCATCTCCCATTACATAAAGCTCTGCCAGCTCATATGTCAACTGTATTGCAAACTATTAACAGGTTGCGGTTTTATAGGACACAAGGTGTGTAGAAATTGCCGAAAGTCTTTAATTATCTTGCACATATATTTTGGATGATAATATAATTGCCATGAGAAGTACCTTGGATTATTATAAACTTGGAATTCTAGCAAAGAAGGATAGCGATGCTAGTGAATAATTTTTTTAATGATGTTCCTACTTACAAAATCGAAATTATGGTTGTGAACATTCTGCTATGATTGTTTGAGCTATAGCTGATAAGCCGTGGAAAAATGAAAACCAACCAAAGATAATTTATGGATAAAATTTTTGTGTTATTAGCGTTTAAAAGCCAAAGCTGGAAAATAGACTATGATGAAAAAAAATAATCCCATAATCAACTCTCAAAAGTTCAATTTTTTAGGCTGGATTTGATCCGAAGGCCATAAAAACTCAAAAAAAAGACCTTTTTTTTTCAAAAAAACAATTTATGCTTATTTTTTGGGAGAAATTGTAAGTCAGCATGTGGTTTTTGGACACTGTAATGTTCTGCAAAGTTGAACATTAATAGATTCTCTTAGTTTCTTTGGGCTGCTTACTAGAATTTATCTGATTTGAAGATCAGACATATCAAGCAAGGCGAGGAACCTCCTCTCCAGGTTGAGCAAAGTGCTTGTAAGAAGTCAGGCATTGAAGAAATCTCAGAAGGACTTAATCTGTAAACAAAGGTGGATTCCTCTTTTGCAGCGCTGTTATTATCCTATTATCCTATTATTTTTACTGCCTTTTCTCTGCTGAATTTTACTTATAGTTAATTTATTTTCTATTTTCAGGATAAGTGAAATTCTCCGTGATGAGTCTTGGAAATCTGAAGTTGATATTACTGTAAGTATCTGAGGGAGAATACAATATCAAGTATCCATTGTCAAATTAGCAATATATATCAGAGTATTAAAATGCTTAGCAAAATAACAAGTTTAATTGTTTTGCCCTTATCAGGAGGACATCCTTGCCTTGACTGATGATGCAAGTGAGAGCAGGTGATTTTCGTTATGTTTCATGCATTGAATAAATTTAAAGTTTATTAATATTAAGTGATCTACTTAATCTCTATTTTCGCCTGCTATACAATTCACTTGATTTGGTTTATGTGTCACTTTGCAGAATGCCTGAGCCCAGAAAAACGCCATTGCTGCTCACTGCTTCTGCGGACGAATCAAATAAAAAGAGTTCTCTGCAGACAAGTATCCTTTCATTTTATTTAAGCCTGCCACTACTAAATTTTGCTTCTCTTCTCTTGGAACATTTGACCACATTTTCCCATCTGCATAAGGCTATTAAAGTGTTTGTATTCCAAATTTCCTATCATATATATATCTATAAGCCTTCTCCCTAGAAAATACTGACAGTTTATTGTTCTGTACTACCATTTGGGTAACATTTATTGGTAGGTTTCATTATTTTACATCAATCATAGAAAGGGGCTCCTTATGCAACTTGCTTTTTTTTTTCATTTTTTGCCCAAATGTTCTATGCCTTGTTGACATGGGTGTTACTAATGGCTTCTTTATCTCTCTATTGAGTTTAGTCAGGCTACATGCTCCTTTAAACTATTTGGTGCTTTTATTTGTTGTTTTAACCTGCATTTATTGCATGTTCGATGAATATTAGTGAACAATGTGCATGTGAGGAGTTCAATACCTGGCATCTTCAATTTGTTGTTTTCAATTGTTAATTCAACTGCTTGTGAATCTCCTTAGCTAATCCCTTCAGAATCCAAAGAGAAAAGGAAAGTTCTACTTGTAGAACATCCAAATCGGAAAGCTGCTGGCAAGAATGTTAACCCTGTCAGAAGCACATCTACGAACAATAGTAGACCGTTATCTGCAGATGATATCCAAAAAGCAAAGATGCGTGCCATGTTCATGCAGGAGAAATATGGCAAGGTTGACACAAGCAAAGTGATTGAAAAACCTCATATGATGGAAATTCAAAAACCGTCTGGCTTAGTTGATTCAAATGTACCGCTTGTGCCCAGAACCCCTCTTACTTCAATCATTAAACAACCTGTTGACCCTAGCCCATCAACCTCTAAACAAAGTACACTATCTCCACCTGATAAGCCAGAAATTGCAGTTAGCTTGAAGCTGAACGTAACAGCCAAAGAAAACTTTATAGAGAAATTGGATTCCAAGAGAGTTATTTGGCAGATACCACCAGGTATACCCTTTTTCTTCTCTGCTTCTTCATGTGTCCATCTTTTAATAGAAGTTGTATAATAGATGTAATGGTTCATATCTTAAGAACTTGAAGCGTGTTGTCTTTTATTTGTACCAACACAAGCCTCTGAAATCTGTATAGTTTAGATTATGAGATTATCCAAAATCAGTATATAGTATGGATCAGGTTCAATCTGAAGTGGAGAAACCGCAACTCGAGAGACATACCGTGTTATAGAACCAGGTCATGAGCTCTGTTTTGTTTGTCCTCATGTCACCAGTTGTACAATGCAGTCTTAACACTAAACAACGTATCTAATTTGTTGTCATGAATTTGATGCATGTGTGAGAGCCTAAAGGGCAGGTGATCAAGTGGATGATTTCTGACAGAGATAACTGTTACTACTTGATTTAGCAGTTGGTTTACAATTAACCGATTCAGCTTGGAACAAGCATCCTGCTATCAAATTGTTGGAAGAGCAGGGGATGGCAATTTTCTGTAGTGATATGAGAATTGAGAAGTTACCAGTCATTCCCCATAAACAAACATGGGGCAGCTATTACCATAATTTCAGGCAGTTCATTGCAACAGTTCCTCTTTTTGTAGGAAGGCTTGCAAGTAAATCCACATTGGTTAAATACTTGGACCAAATAATTTCTGTGCTTATGGATCTCAATAAACACTAACATGCATGACGTTACATTTTATACTTCATGTAATTTGAGTTCCATACATTCATGTGATAAAAATCACTTATTACAGGTTATTTGATACTTTCTGTAGCAATATCGATAAAACAATGACAAATCAGCTGGTCTGTGTGAGACTTATTTTCCTTTATTAATTCTCTACAAATCCAAATGTGATATCTGCATATGGTATGTTGACTGGGAAAAGATATCCAGAGATACTTCCAATCTCTATGGTGTCAGCAGTTGTCAGTGAACATCTGATCTAGCTATCTTAAGAACTTCGCTTAAATACAGGGAACTCTGCGAACATCCAACAGTCGTGTGTCACCCGTTGCCGATCTTGAAAAGTTTTAGTTCACTTCACCATCTATGTTTTCTTAGAGTTCCAGTGAAAGCTTGAGCTTGCATTATTAGTTCATAGCCTCATGTTGCAGAACTTTATTTTTTTCCCCTGGAGTTAGCCTCATGTTCCTTCCTTAAGTGTGACATATGCACTATCAGTTTATTTATTCATTTTTTTTTAGAATCGGGGCTTTATTTGTCCATTATTTGAAATTTTGTTATTTCATGTTGCAGAGGTTTGGATAGACCCTGCTTGGAGTTTAGGTGCTGGAGAGAACAGCAAAGAATTTGAGGTCCAAACCCAGAGAAACAGGCGTGAGAAGGAAACCTTTTATGCTAGTCTAAAGGACATACCGTTGAATCCAAAGGGCCCATGGGATGTGGAAATGGACTTTGATGACAGCCTTACACCGGAAATTCCAATTGAGCAGCCACCAGATGCTGACGCTATGGAAACGGATAGCGTGAGCACAGCCCCTCCAAACATTGTGGTTCCTGTTGTGGACAAGCAAATAGGATCAACCTCATCAGTATCTCCAGCAGTTGCTGCTGGTGCGAACGGTGCAACTTCTGAACCAGATCTTGAGCTGCTTGCGGTGCTGCTCAAGAATCCACAACTTGTCTTTGCTCTAACTTCTAATCAGGGTGGGACCCTGCCAAGTGAGCAGACCGTTGCACTTCTGGACATGTTGAAGCAGACTGGCCTTGGACTATCAGAGCTGGTAAATAGCCTGGCCAACAATTCTGGGGTCCAAAAAGAGCCCGAATCTGGTCCTGAAGCTATCCCTGCTTCGCTTCCATCGCCAACTCCTCCAAAAGACCTGATAGCCAGGGTTTGCCTGCTTAACTCTTCACTTCTAATTTTCCAAAGTTAAATCCTTCATCTGTTGTAAGTATTACTATCTTGTTTGGCAGGATGGCTGGAGTTCAGAGTTCCCATCACAAGTGAGGACCCAAAACTTGCAGCACGCCCATTTGCCAAACAGAGCAAATGCACCTCCTGTTGCAAGCAGCGTGCAGCAAAGTTTCTCAAATGTTGTCAGTTCGTTGCCTTCACAACCTTATGCTTCAGCTTCTGCTTTGCCGGCACAGACTCGAACTAATATGACATCTCTCCCCCAGTCGATGATCTCCGTAAATCCGTCAACTCAACATGTTGCTCCTATGAATAATCTTCTGAGCAGAGCCACGGTACACCAGCACACCCAATCATATGCTTTAACGTCTGATCCTGTTGCAGTGGCGGTCCATCATCAGCCAGCGGTGAACAAACTAGCCCATGAGGTTCAGAGCATCTCACACCCTGCTGTATCACATTCTTCGGTGGCTGAATCACATGCCTCTTACACATCATACACCTGGCAATCTAGTGTTGCTACCATTGCCGCCACTGGGCGAAATGCTACACCTGATCGATGGGCTGCACCTGCACGCACTACTAATTCCTTTAACGCTGCCCCATCAAATTCAAACCATGTGACGTATCCTAACCAGAATGCTTACAGTAACCACAGCACACAAGCTACTACATACAATTCTTATGGTTCAGCTCCAGTCTCGTCCCACTCCCTCCACCCAGGGCAGGGACTGGACCGAAATGGCTACACTCACGCAGCGGAGTACCAGACGACAATGGCGCGAGACGCCCTATGGCGGAACTCGCGGTCTCCTGAGCTTGGTGCTGGTGCTGTGTATGGTAGTAGCTCACAAGGCTATGTTCCCGAGCCCTCAAGGCAGTGGAACTACGGGCAGCAGAGCTACAATCCTGAGCCTTATTCTAGGCAGTGGAGTTCTGGGCAACAAAGCTACAACACTGTCACTGCTGAGCCTTCCAGGCAGTGGAGCTCCGGGCAGCAGAGCTACAGCAACCCAGCTGAGCCTTCAAGGCAGTGGAGTTCATCAGCACATGCACAACCAAGCTACAACCCTGAGCCTTCAAGACCCTGGAATTCAGGTCATCAGAGTCAAAACCCTGAGGCATCGAGGCAATGGAGTCATCATCATGGAAAGCAAGAACGTTATAATCCGACAGATGGTAGAAATTCTTATGATCAACATTGGAGGAGATGATGAGGGTCACCATTGTATATTAGCTGATTCTTGAGGTGGTTCTCCGGGCTTTTTTTTCCCTTTTTTTTTTTTCTTTTTGATGGGAAGCTTTGTGATTCGTTTACTTTGGGCCTTGTGATTGGCACAGAGGCCATTGAGAAAGCTATACATCATGTACCAAATGTAGTAGGAGTGGGGGAAACAAAAAACGAGAAAACTAAAAAAAAAAAAGAGAGGATGCATCAGCTGAATTGCTGAATCCATTGATGGATAAAAAGTTTCACTTCATATTTCATTTGTGATTCGTTTTCTTCTTTTTTTTTCCCTCTAAACCTTCTAATCAGTAGTCATGTAGTGACCACTCACCACCGCCTTTGTGCTATCTTGGCATGCAGGTGGCACTGAGATGCGTATTGCGTTTTGTTGCTGTTTCTCGTCAGGTCGGCGTTCTCTGAACTCTGAAGAGGAGTCTCGATGAAGCCGTGAATACGTACGTATGCTTACGATTTACGAATTGTGGTATAGACGATAAACGTCGCAATCTAGCACATCTTTTGGTGGAGCATACGAATCTGAAGTCGATATGTGACATTGTCGTTTGCATTTTCTGTGCAGGTGGTGAAAATGAATGAATCTTGTTATATTTCCCTATTTGGCGGTAGCCCTTTTAAGTTGTGTTGAAAAAGGAAGCGTGAAAAGTGCTAGCCAGAACCAACAGTTTGGTCGCAGGGAGGTTTATGTCCAAATCGTGTAACACAAATGTTGCACAGTAACCTAAATTTCTTTTTTCTAATAAAAATCGATAGTGAAATAATCCATTAGTACAAATATAAGATTTCAAGTGGACTCTAGGATACTGCTAGCTCTATTATTTACATGGATAAAAAAGAACTATTTTTGTATAAATCCTTTTTTGAATTGACCATCTGAACGAAGTCAATTTTAAAAACTATTAGCTGTATATTATTGTGAACCCCAGTGTCATTTTCAGTTTTCAAAGGAAGTCCAAAATTAATCGGGGTAAACGTGTGTGACAGCGTGCGTGCGTGTGTGCATGTGTTGGAAATGGTCTCCGAACGTGCTTGGACGGTGAGCGCGCGTGTGCCTGATGCGCAGTCAGACACGCATCCCAGGTCGGCGCCTTCCCTCCAATTTCATACTTCCTCCGTTTCTAAGGCCGAGTTTAATTCTAAAATTTTTCTTCAAACTTTAAACTTTTTCATCATATCAAAACTTTCTTACACACACAAACTTTCAACTTTTCCGTTACATCGTTCTAATTTCAATTAAACTTTTAATTTTGATGTAAACTAAACATACCCTAAATATTTGACGCTATTGATTTTTTAATACATGTTTGACCGTTCATCTTATTAAAAACATTTTGTGAGATATATAAAACTATATGTATACAATCAAATGGTAGAAAAAAATTAATAATTACTTATTTTTTAAATAAAATGAATGATCAATATGTTAAAAAAAGATCAACGGTGACAAATATTTAGAAAAGAGGAAGTTATTTTTCCCTCTTTTCTTTCTTTTTCTCTCGCGAAAACGTCGCGAGAAAAAGAAAAAAAGAACCAAATAAAAACGGAAGCCGCAGCAGCAGCAGCAGCAGCATATCCTTTTCTGCTCCGCGATGGCCATGGCGGCCGCGGCGAGGCACCAACGCCACCCGCTCTCGCGCTGCGGCGAGGGGCGGCGGTGGCGGCGCGGGGAGGTGCGGTGCTCGTCGCCGGCGCAGGAGTTCGCGGCGCTGGCGGCGGTGTTCCGGCGGCGGCTGGTGGTGGGCGCCACGACGGCGGCCGCGGCGGCCGTCGGGGCGAACTTCGGCGGGGTGACCAGCTTCCTGCTGGGGCTGTCCCCGCAGCTCGGCCGCTCGCTCCGCCTCGACGTGCTCTACCCCGTCGGCGGCTTCACCCGATGCCTCGACTCCGACAATGGATTCGGTAATTACACACACACACACATATATTACCAATCTCGCTTTCTCTTCTTCCCCTTGTTAGGTTTGGCAATTGGCGTTGCATTTGCTTCTTCCAAAAATATTGGGGGTTGTCTCTCTCGATCTCCAATCGTGCGCAATTGCTTGTTCTTCGATTTGTTCGTTCTGTGTGGCTCGGTTGACTTCAATTACTCCTCAAATTGTCTCCGCAAAAGAAAAATAGAGAACACGTTGAGCCGTCATCATCTGTTGCTATATTTTAAGACTCCATTTTCTTTTTTTTTAATAAAAAGTTTGAAGTTGTGAATGCAACAGTAGTAGAGCCACACCCATGCATTTTGGGGACAAAATTCACGCCAAGAGTCTGTAAATGGTAGGCACTATGCGATAAATTTTAATGAGTTGGTGTATGTTTAGAATTCTTGATAGTTAAATTTCAGGAGACTAAGAGCTTGGTTTCGCGAAAAGATGAGAATTTTACTGGTAAGGTATGCTCGGTTGATGGTGATGCCCACCATAAAACCAATGAAAAAGAACTCTAGGTCTCCCTTCGCGTGGCTGTTGTTATCAAGCTGCAACTTTGTGCCCCACCATAGAAGCATTGAAATACAGATGTGAAGCAGGGTTCACACTTCTCTCTCTTTGTGAGTGGTTGGGGCATCAGGGGCTCGGAAAAATTACGAAAATTTTGAAAAAAAAATCATTTAAATTTGAATTCAAATATGTATTGCTTAGGATTACTAGGTTCCTTTTAAATTTTTAGGCCTTTTGTTTCACTGCATAATGGAAGTAACAATATTTGACAAATTACAAGCAAAATTGGGAAATTTTCCTCTAATTAGACCTCATGGTGCTTTCCTTGTTCCAATTCTCCCAGTCACATGCAATTTATTCATAATGCCATGACTAAGGAAAAATGGTATGTTTACTGCTTATATAGTTATATGTTCCTATTTTCAAGCTGAATTTAGTCTAGTGTACAGTACTGAAAGCACAAGTGGCTACAAAATTGTGGTCCTTGCTGTTGCCAGTTTGCCACCTAGTGTATCTAGCCTACAAGTCATGCCCCCCCAATGGGATTTTACATGTGGATCACAGTTTATCTGGTGCTACATTCAGGACCAGAAACTGTGTGCCACCTGGACTGCATGTCATCATAATTGATGACATCTGGTGGATGATGTTCGTCTTGATGGTTTACGTTGGATTTATGTTTGGACATTTTCCAACTTGTGGACCCATTAACAAGATGTCGTACTTGGGCACTGTTTTTCTTGAAAATAAAGGTTGAAATGAAAATCATGATAATGTCTCATAGTTGCATTGGACTTAGAAGATATAGCTGTAATCGTGTAAAGGAAGGGGAAATTGCATTGGCTCACACTCTACGTATTAATTTTTGTAGCTGATATGATAACACTACGGGGAATTATTCTTGAACAATAGTTTAGCTCAACAAAGCAAGCTATGTGAAAGCATTGATGATGACTCTTGAGTCTTGACTGATCTTTGCTCATTAGGGAGTCAAGAATTAGCTGCAAGCCTGCTAATGCACAATCTGAAAATGTACCACCTTTTGCATGTTTATTAAAAGGTCATTGGCCATTATTTTTATCTGTCGCCAGTAGTGAAATAAGAGGGCTTGATTAATTGCAAACATGTCAGTGTACAAATGTGCACATTCCAAATTATGTTAAGTAATAACTTTAAGGTCTCCAAAATTTTCAGAGTTCATATATCCAGCAAGCTGGGTTGGAGATCAGACATTGCTATACAGAGGAGCGAAGAGAGCAGAACTGCAGAGATCACTAGACCCTCCCCCATTGGCAAATGGGAGGTCCCCATCACGGCCTCGGAACATCAGTGAACCTGTGGCAGCTTTTGGCCCCCCAGGATCCAGTGGGGAGCTCAATGTCAGTGTCATCGTTTCACCTGTCCCACAAGATTTCTCGTAAGTATACTTTATATGTCACTTGCAGTTTGTTTTCCTTTATCCAACATTTAAATGAATCGGTTCACAGTATACTTGAGTCCTTCTGTAAATAGTGAACATGACTCCGGCTTCATGCTATACTGCTTTACAGTAGATTTACTACCAGTACGCTGAATTTGGCATATAGCGTCTTCAGTGTTGGTCAAAGTAGTAATCTTCAGTATTGTTATGCCATATAATGCCTAATGCCATGATTGAATTGTTTGAAACAGGATCGAGGCTTTTGGTGGCCCTAAAGATGTTGGGGAGGTGGTTCTCAGAAGGATCGCAAAGACAAAGCGGGGCGCAGATATAAACGCCACTCTTCTTGATGCTGCCCTGAGAGAAGATCCAGCGAACAATGTGAAATACTACAAGCTAGAGTTCCGAGTTGAAAGCCCTTCCTTTCGACGACGCAATGTCGCAGTGTGCTGCGCGAAGGATGGGAAACTATACACCCTGAACGCTCAGGCTCCGGAGTCGGCGTGGAAGGCGGTTCGGAAAGAGTTCCTTGCAATGGCAGATTCATTCAGCCTAGTGGCTGATGTATGATGTATAGTAGAGAGACCGTTTTTGAACCCCACCGAGAATTTTCTTCAGTAGTTTGTGACTTCTCAAGCAGGCAGAGGGATATGTCAATGTTAGAGCATCAGAAAAGTAACATGTTGTACTGTACCTGTAATGCTGTATCATAATGCTAGTGTCACACATGTGCAATTTTTTTCTGGAAGCAATGCTTGGGAGATATAATCTTTATCTCAACATGTACTGGTAGCAAATTACCAACATTTTCTATCGTCCATCTGATGAGCAGTCCAGTATGTATACTTGAGAAGCCAGTTTTGTGTAGCTGGATTGACGTCGCCAATGGCATTGACAGAGGAAGCTACACTTTGGAGATTGGCGAGGGGAGCAGACATCTCTGTGTTTGGAGGTGGGTGTTGGGAACCTCCGATGCACGGAAAACAAAGCGGTCATCCCATGCACGAAAAACGGAGCGGTCCATTAGCGCGTGATTAATTAAGTATTAGCTATTTTTTTAAAAAAATAGATCAATATGATTTTTGAAAACAACTTTTATATAAAAACTTTTTAAAAAAAACATACCGTTTAGCAGTTTGAAAAGCGTGCGCAGCAGGGTTGCATCATGGAAAAGAAAAGAGTGCGCATCAGCGTGCACACCGTTTAAGTCTAGTTGCATCATGGTTTGGGGAGAATAGCGATCATGCCTGTTATTTCTGTTATCCTTTTCTCCCTCCCCTTTCCTCTTCTTGTTCTTCTCCATGTCGGTTTTGAAATATTTCACTTCTCTTAGGGCTTGTTCAGATTGATGCCATTTCAAATATGTGCATCCATATTGATTTTTTGGTAGAGTTGTTAAATATATGCATCCATTTAGTTTTTTTGCTAAACTTTAGTAAATACATAAGAGATCCTGCCAAAATTTTCACAATATTACCAAATTGCCGTAAGGTTTATTTTGCCTACAATCTGAACATGCCTTAATACAAGGAAAAAGTATACTTCGACTCCCTCAACTATGACCCGAGTATGATTCATGACCTTCAACCACAAAACCAGGTATGTTGACTCCTCCAACTATCAAAACCAATGCAAACTATATCCCTCGGTGGTTTTGGAAGCTGTTTTCGCTGACGTGGCAGTGTTGACCCGGTCTTCGTCCCACGTGTCGTCAACATGTCGCTTATGTGGCATTAGAGTAAAAAAAATTGTGGGACTGACATGTCATTCACAAAAAAGTGGGACCCACCGACATGTGGGTCCCACATATTATCCTCAGCTCTCCCCCTCTTTCATCTTTTCTAGTCCCCTCACCTTCCTCCATCACTAGAGATGGGGTGGCGGCGACGGTGATAGTGACGGCGCATGGGGGAGGAGCTCGCCGGCCGTCCACGCCAGGGGGAGGAGCCCGCCAGACATCCCGCGAGCTCCCCGCCCATCTGCGCACAGAGGGAGGAGGTCGCCGGCCGTCCGCGCGCGGGCGAGGAGGTTGCCGGTGTCCGCGCGCCGGGAAGGAGGTCGCCGGCGTCCGCGCGCGGGGGAGGTCTCCGGCCGTCCGCGCACAGATGGAGGAGATCACCGGCCGTCCGCGCGGGGGCGAGGAGGTTGCCGGCCATTCGCGCGCCCGGGAGGAGGTCGCCGGCGTCCGCGCGAGGGGGAGAGCTGAGGATTAACACAATTATTTTTTAACTCTAATGTCACGTAAGAGACACGTCGACGACACGTGGGACGAAGAGCGGGTTAACACTGCCACGTAGGCACCACATCAGCCAAAACCGCTTCCAAAACCACCGAAGGATATAGTTTGCATTGGTTTTGATAGTTGGAGGAGTCGATATACCTGGTTTTATGGTTCGAGGTCATGAATCATACTCGGGTTACAGTTGAGGGAATCAAAGTATACTTTTTCTTAATTCAGTGATGTGTAAGTTTTTTTGCGTATTTCCTTTTGTGGAGGCCCACGAAGAAAATCAGCCCAGCACCAGCGCACCGCCACCCCATTTTCTTTTATTCTTGATATAATTAATTATGCTTGAATTAAATAATTGGTACTAAATCGTATATTAGTTTTACCGTGGGCCGTAGAAGCTTGACGCAACGGCCCATGGATAAAGCTGAATTACGACCGCTAGATTGGGTCCAACAGGCCCATCTAAAAAAGGAGCCCACCAAATCACCACCGCCCCTTCCCTTCCGGCTCGATGGCCGCCGCTTCGCCGCCGGCGGCGGCGGCGGAGGTCGTTGTATCCCTCCACTCTGTCCCAGCCAACTAATAGCGTAAGAGACAGGAGAATCGCGGCGCGGAGCGGCCTCTATAGGAGCAGGCAGCGGGCGCCTCATCGTCCTCCGATTCCATTCCGCCATGGTCGACGACCCCCATCTTCCTCCTCGCCTGCGGCAAGCAAGGAGGTAAGGGATCCGTCGTTCAAATCACCCCATGCACCGTGGCAGATCTCGTGCAGGAGGGACGAACCAGCGGCGGTGCTATTGCTGCCAGTTTATCTATTTCTGAATCCGTCCATTAATTTGACTGATCCCCCCACTGCAGGATGCATATTGGGGATTCCAACTCAAACTACAAGAGCAGGGATTTGAACTGTTCTATGTGAAATTTATGCAAAAATTCGTATGGAACTCTACTGTTCCAGACAGTTTGGCATTAGCTCCGGATTGGGATTATTCATCAATTCGTTATTCCTTTCTTGTTCAATTCCTAACCAATCAATCAGTCATACTTGCTGCTTATTTTAGCAAGAAGATCACAGAGCTCCCTTGGTTTGGAGCACATGATGTTGTGGTCGGCTCCAGCAATCTCCTCGACTTCCGTGCCCGGGCTCAACGTGATCAAATAACGATGCAGCTCCTTGATGTCATCCCCCATGCCTATCAGGCACACCCTCTTCACCGAACCATAGTTGGCACTGGTAAGCAGCTTGTCATCCTTCATCATCGGATCATCCTGGAACTGGCTGCCAGGTGTCATCAATAATTTTGCCAGGGTCAAATCCTACCCAAAAAAAAAATCAAATGCTAGTCTAATGAGATTTGAGATACCAGTTACCAGCTATTAGGACAATAGCAATCTTAATTCCAAATTAAATGCTAAACTGGAACTTGCAAGAAACCAGAGTTCATGATGCTAGTTGATTGCCTCAGCTGGACTTAGTGGATAACACCTCTCTGCCAAGAAATTTGGGCCTAGGGTTACTGCTGTTCCTGGACCTCGTTTGTTGTTCATTGGTATCATTTTGCTATCCATGAGCAGACCTTTGGGAGCTCTTTCCCTCATCAACTGTACATATATCAAGAAAAATAGAAGCATTAGTAGTTAAATAAATGTTCAGAAATTAGAGCGAGTAATAAGGCAAAGTTTTTGCCTTTGTTCTAAAAAAAACTTTGCTGACTACCTCCCTGACGATTCCCATGTGCTTGCCGACGCATGGCATGGACGAGGCGGCAAACACGGCCACGGCGATCTTGTCCGGGAACCTCTCCATTGCGAGCGCGATGCTTAGGCCGCCGAAGCTGTGCCCTACGAGGATCAGCCTCTCACCCGCAGGAGCCACAGCCACTGTGTCGAGGAGCGGTCGCGACTAGTCCTCGAAAGAGTGCACCTCGTCGATGCGTGCCGGGTGCACGCCGGACGCAGCGAGGTCGAGTGCCGTAACACGGTGCCCCTCAGAGCGGAGCATGGTGACCACCTTGTACCAGCACCATGCTCCATGGCAAAGGCCATGGACAGGGATGAAATGCTTGCTACTGCCACCGCCGCTGCCTTCCATTTCCTGTAAGTGTCTTGGTTGTAGTGTGTCTCTCTTTGAGTTTCTGATATATTTATACAGAAGTTGCTACGGATTGATTGCCATTATCAAATATATATATATGGTAGTAGCATTTACCTAAACACTGTAGTTACCATTTAGGTTGATGATCTATTCACTGAGTTGGACGTGCTAGCTGTCAGCCTTCATACACTAAATTGTATGGACTTTGATCATGATCCATTTGACAGTGATCATGAATTGCTCTAGTTTGGTTAAGTACTTATTACAGGTTCTAAGACTAAACCCAACAAGTTTATATATGTATAATGAGCTCCAGGTAGCCTCAAATTTACTTTGTAGATGTTCATCTTTTTCTGGAATTTCCCCCTCAATTTTCAACCATCTCTTCTCTTTTCCATGATTCCATCTAATTCATTGTGCTGGTTCTACCTTTCATTTTGTGAGACTGGTTCCCTGAGCTCCCTCTCAATCTGTCACTCAGCCACACGCTGCCCCAGCTCTCTACCCCTCTTGACTACTGCTGCTTCTGTATGCTAATTAAGAATCTATCCAAGTTCAGTTAGATCACCCTACTGTGATGTGTGATAAATCCCAATTTGGAAGTAATGGTGGACAAGGTGGTTCCCTTGGATAATTTTGAAAGGATAGTTCCTCCTTGGATGATTAATCAACCTAGAGCTAGAATCTGGACAAGGTACAGGAAATGATTGCAAATTCAAATCATGACAGTAATTTTCTGATGTGTATACGCCCATCTGTTTGTGAGGTTGGTGGAGGCGTGGAGTCTGGTTGGACCGGGGACCCTAATGGTAGCTGGCTTGGATGCCTGGGGTGGACAGGTGACCTAAACAGTAGCTGGGGTGTGAAAAAATGGTACTGTGTGCTTTACTGCTTTCTGGAGGAGATTTTGGAAAGTGCATGGGTACTGTTTGCTGCAATGCTCCCTTTGTCCCCTTCTCTTACTTCATACTTACTCCCTCTATCCCAAAATAACTCCAACCCTATCTTCCCAAGGTGGATTTAAGACCAAAATACCCATAATTAATAATAAAGTTATATTGGTGGGTGGGTAGGTTTGGGGTATTGAAGGGATAAAATTTCTCGATTTGCGGATCAATGATAGGTAAGAAGGTAGAAGCTAGTTTATTTTGGGACAATTTTCAAACTATAAAATTAATTTATTATGGGACGGAGGAGTAGTTCATATCTAACACTGAAAATATGTAACTTGCTAATTAATTGTTCCTCTTGTGGCTTGGACATGATTGGTTGCTGGATTGTGGCTTTCCTTTGTATGATGAAAGATGACCAAGGGCATCTCCATGCGTTGTTCACAAACATAGAGCATGATACTGCTACAGCAACCGCAACATTGATTCTTTTGTCGCAGCGGGCTGGTTTGGTGCTGGGTCCACATTTTTATCGTTCTTTTCTCCTTAATTTTTCTCATGGGCGATTTCTTTACTAACTCTGGTTTGAACGAGCATACCATCTATCTTGTTATGCAGGCTCCCGTGGACTGAGTCCATCTCTTCTAGGTTCGGTCATTTGCATACACTGGAGATGGCCTAAGCTAGATGTGCTGCTCTCTCGGATGCTCGGGATCACTCACTCTTGGCAGGTCCTATATTATGAGGCATCAAATGGCTTACAAGAGCATGAAATATTTGCAAAATTCATATGAAACTCAATTGTTCCAAGCAGAGCCTGCATTAGCTCTGGACAGGATTTATTCATCATTTTTTTTCTTGCCCAATTTCTAACCAATCAATTAGTCATACTTGCTACCTATCTTAGCAAGAAGATCAGAGAGCTCCCTCGGCCTGGAGCACATGACGGCGTGGTCGGCCCCGGCAATCTCTTCGACTTCCACGCCCGGGCTCAACGTAATCATGTAACGGTGCACCTCCTTCAAGTCATCCTCCATGGCCATCAGGCACACCCTCTTTACCGAACCGTAGTTGGCACTGGTAAGCAGCCTGTCATCCTTCATCGTTGGATCATCCACGAACTGGCTGGTAGGTCTCACCAATAATTTCGCCAGTGTCAAGTCCTACAATATACCGTAGATATGCTAATGTAATGAGATTTGAGATATCAGTTAGTCTGAATTCTCAAATTAAATGCAAATTGGAACTTTCAAGAAACCAGAGATAATATGCTAGTTCATTGCCTCAGCTGGACTTAGTGGATAACCCTTCTCCGCCAAGAAATTTGGGCCTAGGAGGATTGCAGTTCCTGGACCTTGTTTGTTGTTGATCGGTATCATTTTGCTATCCAGGAGCATATCTTTGGGAGCTTTTTCCCTTATCAACTGTACAAACAAGAAAAAATATCAGTAATTGAATAAATGTTCAGACATCAGAGTGAGTATTTATCAGTTTGCTGATCAGTGATCACCTCGGGGATGATGCGCTTGCCGACGCACGGCACGGCCGCGGCGACGAACACGGCCACAGCAATCTTCTCCGGGAACCTTTCCATGGCGAGGGCGATGCTGAGGCCACCGAAGCTGTGCCCGACGAGGATCAGCCTCTCGCCGGCCGGAGCCTCAGCCACTGCATCGAGGAGCGGCTGCGAGTACTCCTCGAAGGAGTGCACCTCGTCAACCCGTGCTGGGTGGACGCCGGACGCGGCGAGGTCGAGCGCCGTCACGCGGTGCCCCTCGGAGCGGAGCATGGTGACCACCTTGTACCAGCACCATGCTCCGTGGCAGAGGCCATGGACAAGGATGAAATGCTTGCTGCTACTGCTGCTGCCCTCCATTTCCTGTAAGTGTTTGTGGTTTGCTCTTCTGCAAGTTTCTGACGCTGTGATAGTAGCGATGAATTGATTTATACATACATTATCGAGAAATATATATGACAGTGGCATTTATAATTTTATATGCAGTAGGTATCATTTAGATTGATGATATATTTACTGGCTTGAACGTGCTAACTGTCAGCCTTTGTAAAGAAAATTGTGTGGACTTTGAACGTACTAACTGACAGTGATCACTAGTTTAGTTTGGTGTCCATTACATGTTCTAAAATAAAACCCGACAATTTTATATGGATAATTAGCTCCAGGTACCTTCAAATTTACTTGGGAGATGTTCACCTTTTTGACTTTTTCTGGATTTTTTCCTCAAATTTCTACCGTCCCTTCTCTTTTCCTAATTAATTGAGCTGGTCCTTCCCCTCTGTTTTCTGCACTACCCTCCTTATCTCCTTCTCTTTGTTCATAGCTAACACTGAATATTATTTGCATACACTGGAGATGGCCTAAGCTAGATGTGCTTCTCTCTCTTATGCTGTGACTGTGAGCCTGTGAGGTCAATCACTGTTGGCAAGTCCTATATTATCAGGTTACTACGACTTGTCTTTGCTCTCTTGTCGTTGTCAGATTGATATTTTTCTTATTGTAGATTTTTTTAATAGATTTCATCAATTATTGGCACACAAGATCAAACAAAGCAATGAGAACCAAACTTCTATTATTTATACTTGTAGCGATGGACTGTAAGTAGGCTTCATGACGAAGAAGCACTGATTATTTCCAAACTGGCATTTTTCTACTCGTATTTGTTGGCTATCTTGATCAGAATGTCGCAGAGTTCCCTGGGCTTGGAGTTCATGACGGCGTGGTCAGCTCCGGCGATCTCCTCGACGTCCGTGCCAGGGCTCATCGCCACCATCCACCGCTGCATCTCCTCGGTGCTGGAGCTGTCAGCCTTGGCGATCACGTACACCTTCTTCACCGATCCATAGTTGCCATTGGTGAGCAAGCTCTCATCTTTCATCACCGGATCATCCATGAACTGATTGCCAGGTCTCACCAGCATCTTCGCCAGTGCCAGATCCTGAAATGTGTGGTAGTAGCATTTTTTTAATGGAAAGATGATTACATGGGCATTTGACACAACAGTGTACCGATGTGACAGGTGAGCAAAACCCCTAATTTTGGAAACTGATTAATTAAAAATAACTTTACGGGAGATGAAGAAGATATTGCAACTTGTAACCGGATCAGGATCCTCTGCAGTCGACTATACCGTGCCATTCCTGATCCCTTGTAACCTACCTCTGCTGGACTTTGCTGGTAGTATTTTTGTGCCAAGAAGGTTGGTCCCAAATTGATTGCAACTCCTGAGCCCTGGCTATTGTTTATGGCCACCATTTCGCAATCCATAAGTAATCCTTCAGGTGCAGTTCTTCTCATGAACTAAGCATATCGATCACACAACAAAAAACAAAAATATTAGTGGTGGTTAACCTAGCATTAGTAGTCATTTTGCATTAAAGGACAATTATAGTTCACTGGTTTGATTTTGTAATTTGCTAATGCTTTGCCTATAGCTTATTTGAAGCAAATGCCAAAATAAATTTCATTGTTAAAAAAGAGAGTAAATGGTAATCCCTTCGTTTCATATTATGAGTTGTTTTGACTTTTTTTCTAGTTAAACTTTTGACTTTAAGTTTAACCAAGTTTATATAAAAAATTAACAATATTTTAAACATAAAACAAATATATTATTAAAATATATTAATTGTTAGTTTAATAAAGCCAAATTCGTGTTGCAGATGTTATTATTTTTTTTCAATAAACTTGTCAAACTTAAAAAAAATAAAAAAAAAATCAAACCGACTTATTAATATGAAACAGAGGGTGTAATAATCTCTTTAAATTACGAGACATGTCAGTTTATTTTTACCTCCTCGGTCGGGACGCCCATGTGCTTGCCGACGCACGGCATCGCGGCGGCGACGAACACGGCGGCGGCGACCTTGTCCGGGAACCTCTCCATGGCGAGCGCGACGCTGAGGCCGCCGTGGCTGTGCCCGACGAGGACCAGCCGCTCGCCGGGCGCCGCCGCCGCGGCCACGGCGTCGAGCAGCGGCCGCGAGTACTCCTCGAAGGTGCCCACCTCGTCGACGCGCGCCGGGTGCGCGCCCGACGCGGCCATGTCGAGCGCCGTCGCGCGGTGCCCCGCGGCGCGCAGCGCGGCGACCACCCTGTACCAGCACCACGCGCCGTGGCAGAGGCCGTGGACCAGGATGAAATGCTTCTTGCTGCTGCTGCTGATCTCCATTTTTAGCTCAGCTGCTTCGAAATTCTTGGTGCTGTGCCTCGATGGATTAGCTGAATTTATAGAATCACAGTTTCTTACTCTCCAAGAAGCTCGGTGAGATCATCTTGTGCTGCAAGAAGAAGAAATGGCTATCGCACTACCTGAAAAATTAGCATTTTGCAGGGCGACTTGTCCCTAGCCCTCCTGTGCCTGCCTTCGACATTTCTGCGATGCTGCCGGTGCATGATTGCGCATTTGGAAATTAATTAAGCAATCAAACCAAGGTTGTGTTCTTTTTAGTGAAGATAACACGATGTCGCATCCCATCAACTTAATCCGCAAGAACAAAGGTTGAAAGCAGAGGATGCGTCATGGTCACGTAGCATCAGGGATCGATCAGGCGACCAGCAACGATGACACCACGGACACACAGTAAGCCGCCGCTGAATCTGATTGGTTAAGAGAGATCGGTCGATCGCCACTGGTGTGGATAAACCGTTGAAGTGGGCCCAAATCTCGTGATCCAAAATTAGCCCATTGGTAATTGGGACGAAATAGCCCAAGTTGAAACAGATCCTCTGTAGTCTGTAGTATTGTTCTCTTACTTTGAGTGGCTGATATATGTACCTCACATCCAACGGAACTATATGTTAGTGACACACGTTAGAGGACAATGAGACTAAGGCTTTATTTGAAGAGTTTAAGATCTTAAAAAGTAGTTAGATGGTACTAGCAAGCTTGGCTGATTGGCTCTGTTTGAAGAGCTTAAGCACCTAAGTACAACATCTGTCTCGTAATAATTGTATTTCTAGAATTTAAATTTGTTTCAAAATAGCTATTACAATAGAGTACTAATGGTCTCATTAATTACTTCTCATTCACAATTCTTCCTATTTTACCCTCTACTACACTCTCACTCTTACCTATGTACCATTTAATAAGAAGTATCATAGTCTTTCTTATCAAACCTTAATATATACTAAACAAACTAGAATTACAATTATTTTGGGATGGAGATAGTAGTTAGATGCAAGCAAATTTTTGAGAATTTGGAAAAACTAAAAAACTCGGTTTCTGTTTAGCTTTTTTTTTTTGTATCTACATTTCTCAAAATCTAGATGAAAAGTTATATTGTTTGAGTAAACTTTTAATTTGAGAGAAGCCGCGGCTGCCAAAAACTCCCCCGAACACGCTCTAAATCCACCACACCGCACACCTCATATCAAGAGGGAAAATGCGGCATGAAGCGATCCAAGATAGCCACTGTCGCCTCGCCGGCGGCGACGGTAGGAGATAAGGAGATCTAATGCCCACGTCCATACAGATAGACGATCGTTCGATCCAAGAACTGAATCTGTACATTTGTTCATCACAAGATCGGGATAAAATTGATCTGGTGAGATATTATCATTAGCTTCACAAAACACAACCGAACCACTGATTACATGTTTCTCTTCTGCTTAACACTGATAGAAGACAGATACTGGAATCGTAAAAAAATTTTAACCCTGCTAAAACCATTTCTTAGTCATACTTAGCTGCAATCCTGAGCAGCAAATCACACAGCTCCCTCGGCTTGGAGCACATTGCCATGTGATCCGCTCCGGCGAGCTCCTCGACTTCCACGCCTGGGCTCAGATCAATGGTCCACCGCTGCATCTCCTCGTCGCTCGAAGCATCATCCATGGCGACCAAGAACACCCTCTTCACCGACCCGTAGTTGCCTTCAGTGAGCAGCGTCTCGTCCTTCATGATCGGATCATCGATGTAGTTGGTGCCAGGCCTCACCAGCATCGTCGCCAGCGTCAGATCCTGCAAGAAACAGAATCAGATGATCTGACGCTTTTTTCAGGTAGAAGATTGAGATGTTTTCCTTTTTGTTACCTCTGGTGGGCTTCGATTATACAGTTTCTCTGCCAGTAATTTGGGGCCAAGCAGAACTGCGGTTCTTGGTTCTTGATTCGTGTTCAGGACGATGGTTTTGCTGTCCATGAAGAAATCCGGTTTGATCCTCCTCATGAACTTGTGTCAATGCAAGAACATGGAATCATATTCATACCGATGTCTGATCAAGCTCTGAAAAATGGTGAAGCTGAGCTAATCGAGCATGGAGTAATCGGTCTCGTTGTCTCACCTCTTCGAGCGTGATGCCCATGTGCTTGCCGGCGGCCGGCATGCAGGCGGCGAGGAACACGGCGGCGGCGACCTTGTCCGGGAACCTCTCCATGGCGAGCGCGAGGCTGAGGCCGCCGAGGCTGTGCCCGACGAGCACCAGCCGCTCGCCGGGCGCCGCTGCGGCCACGGCGTCGAGCAGCGGGCGCGAGTACTCCTCGAGGGAGCCCACCTCGTCGGCGCGCGCCGGGTGCGCGCCCGCCGCGGCCATGTCGAGCGCCGTCGCGCGGTGCCCCGCGGCGCGCAGCGCGGCGACCACCCTGTACCAGCACCACGCGCCGTGGCCGAGGCCATGGACGAACACGAAGTGCTTCCCGCCGTCTTCCATTCGGAATCTGGGAATCTTCGAGCACGCTCTGTGATCCAGGGCTGCAAGAACAACACAATTACAGGATCACGACACATGCGGTGTTTATACGCGCTTAGATTCCTAGGACTTAATTCAGCTTCTAGAATCTCCGGTTTTCAAATAGTCTAAAAATTCTCATACAGATTTTTCAAATCTGTAGTTGTGGTATCTTATAAAAGTAAACTAGAAACAAAAAATAAAAATACCAGTTTCATAGTTTGTCTATATTTTTACGAGTTACTTCTTAGAATTTGGAGGATTGTTTATATTCTTACATGTTACTTCCTCCGTTTCATATTATAAGATTTTCTTGCGTTGTCCATATTCATATACATGTTAATGAATCTAAATATATATGTGTGCCTAGATTCATTAACACTTATATATAAATGTTAGCGATGCTAGAAAGTCTTATATCTTAAAACGGAGGTAGTACTTCTTAGAATTTCAAGCTTCTCCGAAAAGGGCCTAGTCACGTAAGAGCAATTGAGCATGCCATGTGATGGCACGTACTAAGGACCCAATTTCACGTGGAAACAGAAGTTGTTAGACACCTGGAGAGTGGAGACATCGGGCGTGTACGTGCTGTTGACAACTTATGGCTTTGTGTTCATCATCGATAGATCATTGATGTGGTGGTCCAAGTCGAAGTGTTTATCCTGTCATCTTATAAAAAAAATTGGTGGTGTTTATCAGTCACACTCTCATTACAATGCATATCGATATCTGTATGCAACTTTTGATTCTTCTTCAGAGTTACGCTTTGCCTAATTTGATCCATGGCGTGCTGATGAATGATTCATGTTGTCATTATGTTATATTTCTGAGGGCTCCTTGATCTGGGTGAAAAAAAGAAGATTTAAGTCCAACTTGCGGTTGTCATGGTGCGTAGATGATATGCAAGACATCCCCTCGAGGGATGAAAATCCATATCCTAGAAATAACAAGATTTCATAGAGCTGGAAACTCTTACCTTGATAGCAAGATTGCATAGAGCTGGAAACTTGGAAACTTTTACCGAGATAGCAAGACTTTATATAGATACAACAGGATTGTGTAGAGGTGGAAACTCTTGCTGAGAAAACAAGATTGCGTAGCTCTGATGGAGAGGCTGAGGCTACCCAGACCTGCTGATTCTTTTCCTGAAGATTTGAAGCTGTCCTCTGATGTTCTTCTACTGCTGTGGGAGTGTTTGAATGTTATCTCCTCTTTTTTTCATTTTTCTGTCAGAATTTGCTCTATGTCAAAACAACAAATGATAATTTTGTCGTTGACAGCAGAACTGACCAACAGGGGACATCTATCATTCACTTCTTTCGTTCAATTGAAAGCACAACTGACCAATGGGTGTTTTGTTCGTACCTCTAGAATCGTTTTGTGTGCAGAATCTCTTCACGAGGAAGTCTGAAGACCCTCTGAACCTTGCACTTGCAGAACTGGTTGTTGATAGGGAGTATATTTGATAACAAGGGAGGCTCTCTCTCTATGAAGAACTTCATAAATTACGCTTAACCAAACCATGCCGCGATTTGGCAGTTTCTACCTGTGAACTGTAACTTTTCCAAGGTACCAACATTTTGATAGTAGTTGTAGCATGTAGCTGGTAGAGCCGTAGAGCAAATTCTTGAATTCCAGTTCACATTTGGTAGCAGTTCCTCAATTACGTTGTTCTAGATGTAAAATATCAATCACAACCTGGATAGTCATACTGGTTCTTGAATCAAGTTTTTCTGGGAAATCAATGTTAAATGTAACCTGCAAATTGTAATGTTATTTAGTCGTTCTTTTGGGTTTAGAAAGTTAAAAACAGAATATAACAGCCGCGAAATTGCTTCTTAAATCAGTTTACGAGATTAAAAGAAAAATAGGAAGTGTGGGTCAAATCCAGGCCCGCGAGATCAAAGCCCGAAGGCATCACCGCAGGCAGACATGCAGACCAACAAAATCAATCCATCTCTGTACACACTACCATGCTTCCTTCCTCTTCTCATCCAGAGCATCGGCTTATTGTGCACAGTTTACATCTAATCAAAGTGTTCTTTGCAAAGAAGATAGGCAAAAAAAAATGTTCTTGATTTGAAAGCAGAAAAAAAGAAACCCCCTTTAGCAAGATGTCTGAGTTGATCAGATAATTGTAGTCTGAATTTTGGGTCAACACATACAGTTTCTGTGAAAGGTTATCATCCCATCAACTGTTACGAATCTTGCTTGCTTTTAGAAGAATGCAATATACGAAGACAAATCGAAAAAGCCGAATACAAAACTAAGAATCTGAAGATCTTGGCAGGCTCAGAAGGATCCATTGGTTTCTATCAATCAGAAGGACTGGAATCCCTCAGAAAATAGGTAGGTATTTTTTGGTCATCACAGCCTCCAATCAGCCAGATCCATGACAAAAACAAACAGAAACGCAAACAGAATAAAACTCAACAATGGAATGCAACAGTTGAAACCTCATGGACAAATCTGATTATCTGAAGAACTGCCAGGAGGGAGGCGGCGAAAGCGGACGGAGCAAGGAGAACGAACACAAAGGCGTCAATATATAAGGGGATTGGCGGCTAGGGTTTCTGGGAATAAGAATACCGGACTCGTTATATTGGGCTGGCCCATTTAACATCTTCTTGGGCTGAAATTGTTCACTAATAAGACGGCCCATTTAATTATCATGCCCATTTTTCTATAGGCTAAAAGAGACAATACTCCCTCCGTTTTATATTATAAGTCGCTTTGATTTTTTTTATTTAGTCAAATTTCTTTATGTTTAACTATATTTATAAAAAAAATTAGTAAAGTAAAAAAAAGTCAAAATGACTGCTAATATGAAACATAGGGAGTATTTTTCTAGCCATGGAGGCATGGAACATTGGGATTTAATATGTTTATTCTCACCTAATAAAAAATATTTAAACTATCAAATTTTCTGCAGAAGTTCAAACAATTGTCTCAACACGAATAAAAAAAAAGGTAAGCTCGCCTCGTGTTAACTCCATTTCATCAGATTCAAACTCCAATACGTACTAGTACATCACTACAACATTTGCGTTGCATCATGGAGTGGAGTGGATTAGGCCCATGGGCCAATATGAGGCCCAAAGGGGCCCACGCCATCGAAGCACCCGTGGTCGTCGTCGTCGTCAACGCCCATGTAGTCCACGACGCGCACGCCTTCCCCTCGCCGGCGATCCACCACACCGGCGTGCTGGTCGCCGCCGTGCATCAGCGACCCGATGGCCCTCGTCATCGCGCCGCCTCCGCCGCCGTAGAGCTGGCCGGGCAACAGCCCGCCCAGGTCGAACCCGACCAGCTGCGTCGCCGTCTGCCCCTGCAGCGCCGCCGGCACGACGACGTCGTCGTACGGCGCGAGATGATGGCCTATGGCGGGAAGCCGGTCGAGACCGCCGGCAATGCCCATGGCCGGGAACGCGACGCCGCCGTAGCAGCCCGTCGACGTCGTGGCGCCCAGCTCCGCCGCCTTCTGCAGCAGCGCCGTGGCGGACATGATCGCCGCCGCTGACCCGGCCGGCGGCGGCGGCGGCGGGAACACCATGGCGGCGTCGCGCGCCGCGTCCACGCCAAGCTTGCACCCGGGGAGGAACGGAGACGACAATGGCGCGGCGAGGCTGGACAGCATGCATCCCGCCATGCTAAGCGGCGGCGGCAAGAGCGGGTTTCCGGCCGTGGCGGCGGCGACGATGTTGTCGACGTCGGGGAACATCTTGAGGTGCGGGCTCTTGACGCCCGCGGCGTCATCGTCGTCGGCGACGGGGTGGTGAGCCTGCTGCTGGCCCTGCAGAGCGGAGGTGACCGCCGCCATGTTCATCGGCTGCGCGAGCTTGTTGTTCTCCTGCGCCAGCGCGTCGCAGAACGCCCTGTGCGTCACGAAGCTGTCGCGCCTGCATGCCATGGACACAGTAGTACAACTCAAGCTCATGGACAAAGCGGAAAACTCAAACCAGATATCCTCTCATTTTTTACATCTCACTTAAAAAGTCATAATTTTTTTAAAAAAAATTAGTAGAATAGATCAATATGTGATATATCACTTCATAAAAATACAAATTCAAATTCAACTTATATAAGTGGAAAACAAAAATAACAAATTTAACTATGAAATGAACGTGTAATTCACGGTCAAATTTATTATTTTTGTTTCGAATTGTATAAGTCGAATTTTATCTCGTATGTTGCAAAAAGATATATCATACATTGATCTATCTTGACAAAATTTTTTAAAAAAATTAATAACTTTTTAAACGACAAGCACAAGACGTCCTCTCCACTTCCAGAGAAAGCTAGATCTCAACAATGGCGAGCGCACCTGGAGAAGACGGTGCCGCAGTCGCACTTGTACTCGCGGGTGCCGCAGACCTTGGAGTGGGCCTTCCAGTCGGAGTGGACGGCGTAGCGCTTGCCGCAGCGGTCGCACTTCCACTTCTTCTCGCCGTGCTTGCGGCAGAAGTGCTTCTTGATGCCGGTGAGGTCGCCCAGCGCGCGGCTCGGGCTGTGGTGCACGCACGACGCCTCCGGGCACACGTACACACGCTTCCGCGGCGGCTCGCCGCCGCCGCCGCCGCCAGCGCCGCCGCGCTGGCGCAGCTTCCACGGCAGGTTGTGGCCTCGCCGGTGCAGCTGCAGGTTCTGGTCGCGCTGGAAGCCCTTGCCGCAGATCTCGCACACGAACCGGTTCGTCGCCAGCAGCGTCCGCGGCGACAGCGCCACCACCTCCGCGCTCGGGTCTGCATGGCATGCGCCGCGTTCACACCAACGAAACGTGTTAGTTAAACTCTACTAAAATAGTACTCCCTCCATCCCATAATAAGGGATTTTGATTTTTTACTAGCACTGATTGACCACTCGACTTATTTAAAAATTTTTAGAATTATTTTTTTTACTTACTTTATTATCCAAAATACTTTAAGCACAACTTTTCGTTTTTTATTAATAAGACGAGTGATCAAATAGTGCAAGCAAAAACTCAAAATCCCTTATATTATGGGATGGAGAGAGTACTTGTAGATTTTTAATGCATGACATCATTGACTTTTGAATAAAGTTTGAACATCCATATATATTATTCAAAAATAAAAAATGTGTAAATATAAAAAACAAAACAAATAAATTAAATGATAGTTATCTTTTTTAAAAAAATAAGACGAGTGATCAAATACGTGTCAAAAATCAACAACTTCGTACATTAAATTAACTGGAGGTAGTACTAAAATTTACGTTTTATTTATGTGGGCATTGCTTAGATGGTTGTGGGTGATCTAGCTAGAGCAAAATTTTGCAGATGTAAATGCCACTCCATGCAAGATGAGCTAGTTACATTTCTATTGCACCAATAACTTGGTAGGTTGCATTGAACTTGTATGTGCTATCATTATCTTTTAAATAACTGCAATTATGTTTTGTCCAAGTGATAAAGATCTAATTTTCAATCACTCTTTTAAACCAAACTTCCAAATATAAATCATTTTGTGCGTGCACCTAATTTCATATAGATATTGCAGTTAACTGTCCTAACAGGCGATGGTACTAGATCTGTATGTATATACACAGAGCCAACAGAAACAGGCAATTCTCTAAAAAAAATAGCACGCTGGATAAAAAATGTATAGCTTGATCCTATGTGCACTTAATTAACCAAAAAAGCTTTATGCTAATTACATACAACGAGCTTAGCTGAAATGATGAGGTAACCACTATCCATCTATTGAGAAAAAACAACAACTAGCTAGAGGATTCAGAACTTGAAATCACAAAATATTCAGACAATTCAACTAAGAATGCTGGCCTTGTAAAAAAATGTCGAATTTATCTATCTCAAGATTCTGAACGAAACTAATTAAATTTCTGCGAAAAGACTAACACAAACTACAGTTCATTATGGTCAAAATATTCTGTCACACAGTATATGCGTTGTCATCTATCGTCCTAGTTTTCAGTGAAAGACTGAAAGAAGATTTAGACTGCTAAATAGTACCACCATTATAGACTTTCCCTATCAATTATTGCAGTCACAAGATCGATCGTCAGGTAGGGCAACACAAGACCAAAATTCATTCAATTTATGATCCACGCAAGAATTCAGACGAACTGAAGAAGTAATACTAGATGTTTGCATCTGCATGCAGATGGTCTTAACATACATGAACAATTAACTAAGTGGAGAACATATATATGCACCTGGTGTCCCTGGAAGGCTTCTCTTCTTCTTCTTCTTCACGGCCGTCGGCGGCGCAGGCGGCGGATCCGAGGGAACTCCGGCGACAAGCTGCAGATCACTGTCGTCGACATTGGCGATCTCCAGCGGGCTACCCAGGAGCAGCTTGCTGTAATACGGCTGCTGCTGCAGCTCAAACTCCTCCATCAATTGCTTCTTCCACCTCTTCTTGTTGCTCAGAGAAGATAAGATCACGGTGCAATCCAATCCCTTTCAACACCGGTCGACATGGATGTCATGCAGTTAGCTAACTGATTCAAGTTTGCATATGCACATGCAGAGTTTCAGCAATTGGCAACACACATTCAGAGACTGAACTTCTCTTGTGTTTCTTGCTCTTTCTCTGGCTGAACTTGGTATGAGTGACAGCTAGCTAGAGGAAGAAGAGGGAGCTGGTCTTCTATTTATCCTACCAAAATTTTCACCATGTTAGTGTAGCTATTTTTCCCTTAGCTTTCAGAGAGAATTGAACCTGTCTTTGTCTGTGTGTGTGTCAGGGATGACTTGAGTGTACAGGATGCTATATATATACAGTAGCTAACTGTTAGGAAAGATTAATCTAGAAGCTAGTAACTATGCACCATAGATACACTCTAGCTAGTACAGCTACACATATAATTTATAGGTAAAATTTTTATATATGTGTTCTTAGCGACTTAAAAGCCAATGTTAAAAAAACTAAATAAAAAATATCCTAAAATCAACTTCAAAATTAAGTACGAAAATTTAAATTTTGGTTTTGGCTTTAGTTTACTAGGGTACGATGGGGCCTATAGATAGCTAAGCCGCGTGGACCTGAGAAGAGAGCTTGTTCTTGTAGCAAAGAATTTTTTTAAAAAAAAGTTTTAGTTTTATATAATGTGCATAGTTTGGATCTACCTTTGTTGTTTGCTCCCCTCGGGATCGGCCGGCAAGAGACAATGCTCAAGTTTTCCTGGCAGAGAGTATAATACTGGCTTGTCATGACAGCAACCTGTGAATGCATGGTCAAGTTGATCGGCTTCTTGTTGCCTTGTTTTCTTGCCTAGGTCTCGTTTTATAATCTGATCGCAATTAACACCGCCAATTTGAAATTAATGTGGTTTTCCAATCCCCAAAACCACTCTTCTTATGGAGTGCTAACTCTCAGCTTGAATTTCTGACAGAGAGTGACAGGCTTCTCTCCTTAATCTGGCTGAATTCAATACGAACTACGGTAGTTTTACTGCAACAGAGCTATTGTAATTTTAACTTTTAAGCTGCTCTACAAGAGGCTCATATATATTTTGGTGCTCTTGAATTTAAATATAGTTGACTACCTAAATTAACAAACATAGTTTATGCCTCATGGATGATCAAGAGCTCTTACTAGGTACGTTATTGAATTGTTTAAGGACCTTGGGATTTGCAAGGGATGATAACGATGATGATGCGTAAGATGGAGGTTGAACACCCATGCAGAAGTGAGCTCAGCCTAGCTAAGTTGGATAGACGAATTAACAAACAACTTTTTGAAACTAAAATTGCCCTACATTTTAGGAACTTTCAGAAACTAAGTTCACAACTATATGCAACATTCCAAGTATTTTCCATGAGATTTTCCTTCACTGCTTGATCTCCCAGGAACAATTAACTGTAACTGTAAGGTATAGTTTTTTTCAGAATGAAATTTCTAGAATAACTGAATATTATCAATTTTCTAGAATAACTGAATATTATCACTCCCTCATTTGCTTTCAGGAACACGGCATGTTTCTGTACATGCATGTACTACTGAGAATCTGAGATATACTACCTAGCAGATATAGTACTACTGCTTACTCCTATTTGCTTAGCACATCTGAAAACGACTGAGCCTGAACCAAGCACAGAATGACAAGAAACAATCCTGAAAGCAAGAGGAGGTGACACTGTTCAATTTCTTGAACCAAAAATAAATAAAGGAGCTTTTCCACCTTCTTGATTGACATGGATGGACCCCATATATGTTCCCAGACATTTAATTAGTGCGGTGTTAATTTGACATACATGTAACCTACAAATGCATTTACTCTTGACATACTACTACCTCAGTGACGCGGTTAACTTTATTAATTCATTTGAATATTCATATTTTTAAAAATATATGTGCAAATAGAAAAACATACTACTAGGCATGTTAAAATTAAGTTTGATGAGAGAACTAGTGTTACTAATTTCACTTTAATTAACTAAGTAATTGAATAAATATTATTGGTTGAAGTTCAATAAAAATATGTCAACAGCGTCACATATTAAAAAACCGAGGCATTATATCATCATTAAATTCCCTCCATATCATGGCCATGGATCATGAACTAGGCAGATCAAAGCGTCAGCTAATTAACCAGAGCTGAGAGCACACGCTAACTAGCTACTATTTGATCACCTTTAAACTCTAGTTGATGGAGTGGACAAGCTAATCGATCGACAGGGAGGGGAAAATTCAGATGCACTGAAACTACACCTCTTTGCTGCTTCGTTGCTTAGTTAATTTCTGAAGATACCAAGGTTGGTTGCATCCGGCCCTGATCTGCATACAGCGAAAATGTCGAGTCGATGATCAGCTCGCGAAGTGATCGATGGAGAGGGAAAGATCGAGAGCAAAACTGTCTTATTCCTTCGTGATTTCAATTCACTGAAATCGTTAAATATATTGACAAATAGACAGAACGAGCCCACAATGCATATCCCTGTCGATCTCTTGAGATCAGGCTAGCGATCGAGTTGTTGATGATGATTATCAAGTGATGACTAATCGCTTAGTGAGCTAATTACTAATTAATTAAACAAATGCATAGTTGTTTTCGTATTAGATGCCTGAATATTACCATTGTCATTGCTGCGCTTAGTCTGTAGTAGCAGCGATGGTTACATTCTCACTTTGTCCTCTCTGCTCAACTGTTCTTTCGCCGTAACACTGAAAAATTGCATATTTTAACTGAACATTTGGAAACTGTGCAGCGTCTATTCTTTACGCGGAGACTAGAGCACGCGATTATTGGTAAGATTTGTAGCTTTCCTCAAAGTTAATCAGGCTCAGATCGTAGATGACGATGAACAATAGCCTGCACCCTGCTGAGCACTCGCAGATATGCATGATGAACAGTAGCCAATAATGCATTATATCTTTTCTTGACAGTATTGAACATATATTGGTAAAGAGAATAAATCACAATTGCAGAATTAGTACACAAGTGAGGATACAAGAACACAATTACGATTATACACCTTGCCTTAAGGATAGGTAGTAGGTAGCAAAGAATCTTCGTAGGGCAGGAAAGCATTTCTACACGGGAAACACAAAGAGAGAGAATAATATAGAAACAAGGTCCAAGCTCTAGAACCCTAAAAGCCTAAAAAGTGGCGATATTTCAAAGAAACAGATTAGACAAGAGAGAGCTACACGCAGCCTACGTCTAATTTACACCGCTAAACATTCCGCTATGGTCATACAGTAAATCATTGGTGGCCGAATTCATAAATGTCTTCCTGAATCTTCGCCGCTTCATCGATCATATGTCAACACCTAATCTCCCTGCTCATTATTAGTAGCTTACAGTGGCAAGAAAAAGTTTAAACAGGCCTATTAACCAGTAAGATGTCCAGCAAGTCTATCTATTGGTACCAATAAATTTTAAGGTTGGATCCTTCACTTGGGATAAGTATGTGACAGCGACTTGAGAATTGCTACCTGAACATCAGAGAGAGCGTTTGAGTGATTCTTCAGATGAACAACCCCAGAACAGTGCTCAATTGTTCTGAAACTGATCAAGCTGCCCAATCAGACGCTAACGTACACGATCTTTCTTCCATTAATTCCGCATCGTCTGACAGCTCCGATTAGGATCCCTCAGCATCATGGTCGATTCTGTCTGTCAGTGTGGCCACATTATTCCCAAGGAAACAGCAACCATTTTGGCAGCACACTGCTCATTATTTCAGTATTTCAGTTCTGAAAAAAAAATAGAAATCTTTCTAGAATTTCATGTTCAGGAAATTCTCCCTGACCCTGACTTGTCATGATCTTTAGTTTCTCCAGCAAGTAGTAGATTTGACAAGACAATCTTTCTGACGAGAGCAATTATCTTTGGAGGAGGAGGGGGCTATAAAGTCAAGGCTGCCTGCTACTGCTAAGACTAACAAGAACACAAGAACCCTACCAGTGAGGTCAGATCTTGCGGGCAAAAAAAAAAAAAAAAGAAAAGCAGCTTTCTGCAGAAGCAACGGACCCATCTCCAGCTGCTCTTCTGCTTCTGTTCAGCTCACCGGTGCACATCGCCGACGTGAACCGCTTGCCTGTTTCAGAAAAAAAGCATCGGCGAATTGATCGAGTAGTTGATAGCAAGAACAAGCTAGGCCAATCGATCGACAGCTTGGCCAATTTCCTCGCCGCCGCGTGTTGCCATTCCATTTGGTTGTTGCTTTTCGATTGACAGTGGCATCTTGCGAGCGCATGATTGCGTTATCCTTTTCTCTTCCTCTGAATCCTGAAATTGATCGATGCCAGCGTTATGCTGCTGCAGACAGATGAGGGGTGTGTTCATCCGATCCTATCCTGTTGTTGTTGGTGGTGGTGGTGCTAAGGCACATCTTTTTTTTATTATTTTTGGGGGTCTGGAAACATGATGATGATTTATACAATGTCCTATCATAATTGCATTATTAGGGTGACATTAATTTGACGCGAAATGGCAGCAGCCAATGTGCAGAGTTGCAGAGGCAAATCCACATGCAATGCACTGACCCTGCAGGTTGGCCCATGGGCTGAACCGACCAGTTCAGCCCATGGAGAAATGATGGGCTTTAACGGCCCTGCCCGTAACTCAACATGGGCCGGGCCATCAAAGAGGGTTCTCTTCCCGACTCGCATTTTCAGGGGAAAAATATCGCTGTTTGGAGCAGAGTTAAATATTCCAAGTGGGATACACTGGCAGTCTGGCAGAGGCGTGGAGATTCAGTTAAGTTTCACCTCCACGAAAAGAGAGTTAACACCCTTTTTACCTGCAGGGGAGATTTTGCAGTGGGTGTGCCCGTGTGGGTACATCTATACAAGATTTTACTCTCCTCATTTGTTATACTTTTTTTTCAAAAATATTTAACTCATTTTTTGAAGTATCTTTTTTTTCTGAAAACGTTTTTTAAAAGTATTTTGATCTCTTGTTTGAAAATCAAATTTGTTACGGTTCTATTGTATGTGATATATATATATATATATATATATATATATATATATATATATTGAGAAAAGTACATCTTTTTAGGTTTGTAGTATATAGTAAATTTATTTCTATTTTCTAATGTATACGGTAGGAAATCGGACACGGAATTAACACGTCTCAACCACATAACATGGGCTTCTTTTATCTAATAAAAAAATATACGTGACATTGCATAGACCAAATGATCATAGTAATATTCAACTAAGTTTCATGGTCGGACAATGCTTCTAATAATAGTATACCCTACACGACAAGCAACAATAAGCAGACAACGTCGATAAAGTGGGAATTGCCGCATGTGAATCTTATCATTCTCTGCAGCTCTCGAGAGACGATTTATCGGGTAGTGCGCTTCCACGGCAATCTTCACTTCGCAACTTGACACTTGTTGTCGGACATCATTATACTTTGAAAAACACCTTTCTGCACAATTAGGATATATTAGTCACGCATGATGTACAAACGCGCAGAGACTTTTCTTGTAAGAAAACCACGTTCAAACGTCAGAAAAAAAACCGCTAGATTATATATGCCTCTAGAACATTTCTTCATGGCATGCAGGGTCCCCACAAAACCTTTATTGTGAAGTGCAAATTAGCCCTGAGTTGCGGTGCCCTTTTTGAGCTCTTCAATCCAACATTCTTCGTTTGCCATTGGAGCAACTCGAGTTTAATACAAAACCCCTCTTGGAACAGCGTACCAAAAAGCCTTCTGCACACCTGAGAGCAATCAAAAGACACAAACTGCTCAGAATGTGCTGGATTTCTTTACCCAAAATGATGCAGCAAGTAGGAGCATCCCTTGCTTGTTTGGTCTTTAATTTTGCCCTCTAATTTTCTCTCCCCAAAACTTTCACCAGACGTCCAGATGGCCGCCATTATTCCGCACGATAAACGAGGGAGAATTTGACGTGTCTGCAATGTAAAAACCAACGATATTTTTTTCACATAAGTAAATATGTATGACCATACTGCCAAGTGCCAACTATGCATCATATCAATTTTACGTTTCAAATATGCATGACCATGCTAGGGCCTCATCTTTTCGATCATGCCTATATTTCTCAGTCAAAATTTAAATTTTCAAACAGTGCTATATTTGGTTCTTGGTAGAGTGCACTATGCAGTGGGCATATTTGATTTTTAATTATAGCTAGTTATACTCCAAAATTAACTGGATATTCACGTGCATTATGTAACTTGAAATGAAAACTATACAAATCACTTGCAACGAATTGACAAACTGAAACTAATCAAACCTGAAATATTACGTTTAAAAGTATGCACGCAACAAATTAAAAACCATACATATATCATATCAGTACACCTTTTTTTCTTCGAAACCAGAGCAGTACAACTTTGGTACAACACATCGTAGTACTCGCACCGGAAAACACATCGTAGTACATAGACACAAGCCAGATTGCAACACACACACACACAAAAAAAAAATAACTCCATGACAGTGAGCTGCTCAGTTGCATATATATGTAGTGCAAAGTTACTGCAAATTTGCAACCTGATCATCTTGATCAAGAACAGCTATGATCAACAGTAGCATACAATGCATGGTTAATTGTTTGGACGACCTTGGTTGTTGCCTGATCTGAAGATGGAGAGCTCAGCTCTCACGTCGATCTGTATGGCGCCACCGCCCCTGCTGCCGGCGGCGGCGGCGGCGGCGGCGGCGCTGCTGCTGCTGTTGAGCGACGCGGCGAGCTCCTCGCCCTCGCGGTACCTCTGCAGGTACCTGTGCATGGCGTCGGCGTAGTGGTCGAGGCCGAGGCTCCTCATGGCGTGGCAGACGTCGTCGCCGTTCACCGTCTTCCGCCGCTCCCGCCGGCACCGCTCCGACGCCTCGCCGGTGACGAAGCTGATGAACTCCGTCGCGCACTCCTGGATCGTCTCCTTGGCCCGCTTCGATATCTTCGCCTGCGGCGGCAGCCCGTCCTTCATGATCCGGCCCACGTTGGCGATCGGCAGCAGGTTGTCCTGCCCGTTCGTCATCGTCACGCCGCCGCCGCCGCCATCGCCATCGCCGCCGTCTCGATCTCTCGACGCCGAGGTTGACGACGACGACGCCCTAGGAAGCCCTTGCATGGGTTGGAGGCGACCCAATTGGTTAAATCCAGAGAAATTGAGATCGCGGCTCATTTTCTTTGGTGGAAAAGGGGGTATGTATCTTATCTCCCTTATAAGAGAAGAGAGTCGTATGGTATAAATGGGCCGCACCGTCGTAGCAAACCTCGTGATATTGTTACCGACTGTGCTGAAGGGAATTGGCTGACTATGCTGAAGAGAACCGGCTATAGCTCTATTTATGCGTTGAGCGGCGGGTTTTTTTCTACTTGTTTATTGGATTTTCTCGATCTTGTTGAAAAAAGTGTGGAATGTTATGTTGTAACGTAGGGCTAGCATTGCCCGCCAGCACCACATGAGATAATGATTCTTTCCCTTTCCTTACAAAAATATGGTGCGCCCGCAGTATTTATTTGTCTATTCAATTATTTATATCCAACTTGTTTGGAAAAGAGTTCTTTTTTTTACAATTTTGAGGAAAGAAATAATGGGAAATTACATGCATGCAAATTTGTTTGATATGCATGTGGACTGATTTTTGACTCACTACAAGTACGCGGTACCGTGCTTTTTCATGAACATAATATACAAAAGTAACATAAGCCAACATTTCAATTTGTTTTATATATACTTTTATAGGGCAACAATTTTGTATACTACTGTATATATATGTAGAGTGATATAAAATCGCATCGATCGATGGGCAATCAAGCGTTTACGTAGACTTGTGCCCTGTATCTATTCATCGCTCGCAAAAGAAGTTATCTGACACAAAACTACATGTACATATATTCAGTTGGCGTGTGTAGATATAATCAAATTAATCTTCGGCTAATTAATTAACGGTCGTTATGATAAGAAAAATGTTAATCAACGGCAGTTTGGACTCAACTAGCAGCTGCAGATCAATTAAAGTCACAAGAAGATACCCGCATAATTTTTTTTTACATATATACGATAAAATATGAAAAAAGTGACAGAGAGCACACACTAACACACATGAACTTTCGATACTAGTACTAATTAAAGAAATGAAAGTGCAGAGAAGAATAACTTTTTGGCCCAAGCTAATTAAGCTTAAGCTAATAGCACTACTAATTAAGTTTAGCCAATCAGGCTGCGTCCTTTACACCGGCGATGGTGTGTATAGTCCTCTAGGCGGGCGACACCTGCCGGCCGACAAGCCGTGCGGCCCTCCCATGGCGGCGATGATGGCCTCCATCGCCGCGGCACGTGGCCGTGGATACTCCCGAATCAATGTCGAGACGACGACGACGACGACGACGATCGAGGAAGAGGATGACGAGGAAGACGAGATGGAGGAGAAGGCAACTTGGTCATATAAAAGGCTACCGATTTGCAGCTTTCTGACGCCAAAAGGGGGATAATTAAGCAAATGGTAGTTACACAGCAATTTGCTGTGGCCAATTTGGAGGAGTAGTGTGCATATCAAGTTTTCATCTTTTGATGCGCTGATTCCTAGCTCCCAATCGGATGGAACCATCCTTGAATTTTTCTTTATTATATGGTTTCATTTTCCCATGGACATTGTGAGGAATTAACTAACATGTACTAGACGGTACCGACGAAGAGGCTTTCGACACATATCATGTGCATGCATGTACAACCTCAAGTGTTAGCTAGCTACATACGTTAGAGTTTGTGTCAAATATATATACGTAATCGGTTACAGTTTAAGACTTGAAGTTGAATTAGATAAAAAAAATAGAGTAAAAGTCAGACTCTATCCTAAACTCTCTCTTAAATAGAGAGATAGACATGTTGTAACCGTATAGCGACTTAGCATAGGCGAGAGGGAGCGGCTATCGATCAGTGGCATCCGGTCAAGGTCGTTGTAACTCTAATATGTTGTAATATGCTGAACCAGGGAGGTCCTCGGAATATAGGTGTTGGCTGAACTCGTTATCAAATATTGTGTCTCGGTATCGTCATCAGTTTTGGATCTCCTATGGCATTAAATAATCCACATAATTTGGAGTTACATAATTAAAAAGTTATAAAATTTTGAGACAATTAACCCACATAATTGAAAATCGACAAAGGATTAAATGTAGTTGGTGTTTAGGGATTGGGATTGCATATTTGGAGTACAAAAAACAAGTATAGTTTAATTAGTGACACACACATATATACTACTAAAAATTCAGCAGTACAGAATTAATTATAACTAAGAAACATGTACTATCTCCGTTTCACAATATAAGTCTTTTTAGCACTGCCCACATTCATTTAATATATACATATGTCTAGATTCATTAACATCTATATTTTTTTACGAGGATTAACATCTATATGTGTGTGAGCAGTGCTAGAAAGTCTTACAGTATATAACACTATATGTGTAGTTGGAACAAGTTACCAGAAAAAGTCAACCATGCATGTGGATATATACCCTTACAGTACTAAACAATAATCAAACTTAATTCACATCAATGGTGAAGCACGGGCTGGATATATACATATATAGTCGATCGACAAAAGGTTAATTTTCACAAATTTAACACGAATGACTTTCTTTCCGATAAATATGTATAGCATAAAGAAATATCATATTGTGTGCATGATGCTTCGCTTTGGATCGAAAGGATGAACACACGAGAGAGCGCAGAGTAGCTAGTTTCACATTTGGAAAAAACTTGTTTCTCTACCTCCCTCTAGCAAATCTGTAATCTAGATAAATACTCCATCCGTTTCAAAATGTTTGACACCGTTGACTTTTTAAGTACGTGTTTGACCATTTGTCTTATTCAAAAAATTTAAGTATTTATTTATTATTTTCATATCATTTGATTCATTTTTAAATATACTTTCATGTACACATATAGTTTTGCATATTTCACAATTTTTTTTAATAAGATGAACGGTTAAACACGTGCTAAAAAATCAACGGTGTCAAACATTTTGAAACGGAGGGAGTATTAGCTTTGCACCACACCTTGACATATGCATGTATTCAACCACCTGCATATATGCAAATGAGCAGGGTACTCCGGGATAGAAGCAACAAAAAAAAATGAAGCTGTGCCTTATATGTTCTGACAGGAGAGAGAAAAATATTCAGGCCCTCTATAAACTTGGATAGAGGGAGTACTCTGCATAGTTTTGATCTCCCTAGCTAGCTTCCAGTAGTGCCATATCCAACTATCCCTTATCAATCCAGTCGATGGTGTGCCTGGTGTATGTAGTGTGTGTGCGCCTACGAAATAAGCTGGAGTAGGTGGTTTGTTTTTGGTGATCTTGCGATCTGCAGGTACTGAGTATCAATCGACTACCTCGTCTCGCCATTTTTCTTGCTAACTAATGTGGTTTCATAACGCGTTTTGGCTTGCTCTCGCAATTACTTCCTCATTTCCTCCTTTCAAAAGTAAATTCATTATTTACTCATCCCATGTACCAATACAGAACCCAAAATGACAAAAAAAAAACTAGAATAGTCCTACCGTATCAAATCTCAATACAATTATTTTTTCACTTTATCTATTTTCAACGTAATTATTTTCTACTTTCACAAACTCCAGTGCAATGATTTTTAAAAAATAAATTTATTTTATAACAAATGGAAGAAGCTAAATATGAACTTATTATGGGACGGAGGAAGTAGTAGTTAGTTTACAAACAATTAATTAAAAATAATTCATAACTATTATACATATATAATGGACTTATAAGTCCACATTATATGTATTGTTCAAGGTTTAAAAGGCAAGGCTATAAAATAAGCTACAATGAAAAATAATACACTCTACTAATTAAGTTTCAAAATTCAAATTCAGATTGCGGCTGAAAATTAACTGTCGAGATGAAGCTAGAAATTTACATACCACAATTAATGCATACAAGTACTGTACTGATTAATCAATAAACAGGGAGTTTAAAACTGTGTATATATACATATATCTTTCAATGATACTCCCTCCGTTTCACAATGTAAGTCATTCTAGCATTTTCCACATTCATATAGATGCTAATGAATTTAAACATATATATGCGTATAGATTCATTAGCATTTATATGAATATAGAAAATGTTAGAATGACTTACATTGTGAAACGGATGGAGTACTACATATATAAGTATAGTAGTACTAATCATATATTCCCTCCGTTTTATAATATAAGACTTTCTAGCATTGCACGCATACATATAGATGTTAATGAATCTAGACATATATTGTGTTTAGATTCATTAACATCTAAATAAATGTGGGCAATGTTAGAAAGTCTTACATTGTGAAATGGAGGAAGTATTAATTAGAGATGATGCATGCATGTAAATTTCTATGGTACAGACCAGACGCAGCTTGACAAGAAATATAATCCAAGTGAAATATGTAAACTTACATTTAGATTGATTGCAATAACAAAAATAATCAGTTTTGTTTTATAAAATTAAAACTTATGAATATTATAAATAAAAAATACAAAGAAGTATATAATTGAAACAAAAAATCACTGTATATAAATTTAGTTTAGAATTCTACGGACGCGATGAACACTATACTAGTAAGTGTATAATTGAATAAGAGTATTTGTTAATTTGGATTTTACCACGTGGGTGTGGTTAATTACATATATATATATACTACCACAAAAATACTCAAATTTATTTAAGAGTACACTAGCTAATAAGACAATATATCAACAGCTGCACCAACCGATTGGGTGCTGACTTCTCTAGCTAGCTTAATTGAAAAGTACATCTCTAGTACATTTTCTTGAATACTCGTATATGGTACATATATAGTACTACTTTTTTAAACGACATATATATAAGTACATTGGTGGGTATATGTATGTATATATACTCCATATATAGGATGCATTGTGACTTGTATATATAAGTACATTAATTGGTGGGGTATATGTATAGTACATTAAACAAAAAGTACTATCGATCTTTGAGTGGTCAATTCCTGCTTGAAGGTCCCTTTGCATTCGAAATCGTTATTAGATGAAGTACTAATTTATATTAGCATATATTGTCCAAGTGTATAGCTAGAAATTAAGTCTTTTGCAGATGGATCGAGGGGGTATATATGAATTAATTTGAATGGGTATATAGTCTATATACATGATGACAGTCATGCATGACTAAAATAACAGATCATCCTACTGACCAAACAGAGGTAAATTAACTGTTTAATTTACGCTGAAGCAAAAAGAAATGCGAAAAAAAAACCCAAAAAAGCCCTGCGCATATCAGAGAGCTAGCCATCTAGCGCAACTCCAGGGCTAAAAACAAAACAGTTAATGTTCATCTGCAAAGAACAGCAGAGAACTAGGCTGGGCCAGCGCTGGCCAATTAACTCGATCCAAATAATTAAAACAAATCCAAACCAAAAACTTGCATTGAACTTTCAGTTCGTCTCTAGTCCTACCAACACTGCAGATATATATATGATTCATATGCATGGCTTTTAGGACATGAAGCATAAATATGACAAGTATCTGTAACTAATGAATGGGTGTATACTGTATAGGAGTATAAGTTGCGTGTATAGGGGACACATGTATTTACATATCGAACACTGTTTGTCGTGCAGACATGCATTGTGCGTGATGCATGCCAGCATCCACCTAAATTATTAGAAGACACGTACTCACTCTCTGCAACCACTTCATAGAACATGCCATTTATTATGTCAGCAATTAAAGATAAACCATCAATTTCTGCGTCCTATGAACATTTAAGACAGTATACATAAGCCCGTTTAGATCTCGTCCCAAAATTTTTCACCCTGTTACATTGAACGTTTGAACACCTCCATAAAATATTAAATATATGCTTAAAAAATAACTAATTGTACAGATTACGATTAATTTGCAAGACAAATCTTTTAAGCCTAATTGCTCCATGATTTGCAATGTAGTGCTACAGTAAACATTTGCTAATGATTAATTAATTAGGCTTAATAAATTTATCTTGCGGTTTACTGACGTATTCTGTAATTAGTTTTTTATTAGTGTCCGAACACCCCATGCGACATCCTATATAATACCCGATGTGACATGCCAAAACTTTACACCCTTGGATCTAAACACCTCCATAAACTACGAGCGAATATGACCATATACTTATATCTATTGCATCGCACTATATATGTAAGACAACAGATCTCTAGAAAACAAAAATGGAAAAAAGGAAAGATTTATAATTAATATAATCCACCATTTTTGAAAAAAAAAAGAAGTCAAGAAGGTTGCCTTATATATTTTTTTGGCAAAGAAAATATAACTTCTGGCACTAACTAAGAATATACACACTATATATGTTAATTTTTGTAGACATCAGAATTTGAACTCTATGATCTATAATGAATTGATATAAATGAACGACTAGCATAATTCAAACATTAATTCAATTCTTGTAGGCATAGAAACACTCTCACACAATTACGACAAGGCACTCTCTATGTCAAAGAAAAAAAATCAAATTTTATATAGGAATCTAGACATAATATGTAGAAAAGTTGATTTATTTTGGGATGGACAAAGTAAATAAAAACTATACGGTGCATTTTGCTAGCGACATATATACCTCGGTTTGTGTATCAATCAACCATACAAGCATATTATGTAGTTTAAATTAAATCTGATAAGAAATACTATTATTTATATATATAAGCAATGAAGAAGGTCAACACACAATGCAAGAATGCATAACACACAGGGTGCAGAAGTTATATATGTGGTGCTCAAGAATAAGAGACAGTGCCTAACTAATTTCTCAAGAGTCAAAACTTATCAAACTAAACCCATATATGCATGATGAAATAGCTAGCCTAGGAATATCAATCAGCACAATATTATCCCTATATAGGCATAAGGCATGCAGGAACCTAGAAATCAACTTTTGATCAAATCTAGAATTAAATTTACTCAGATTCAAAAATACCCAACTCCAACTATGTCAATCGTCATAACGTGCAGATCAAAATAATTAATCACTACAAAAATTAAATTGGACGTACAAGAATTATTCATATAAAATCGATCATTTTGCATACTCCGATTAATTACTCCATATCCATCATGTCGCCGGGCCATCTTAGCTGCTAGCTTCTTCATCCTAACCTCATCTTCCATGTCCTTCAATCAATCTCAGCACATCCATCCCCACCTAGCTTCTCACCATCATATCACACCATGAACACAGATTAATTAGCTAATCTAGCTAGCTACTAGTAGCTAAGCACTGGCTACTCTTACTAATTATTAATTAGCTTAGCCACTGCAATAGCTGTTCATATGGAGGAGTAAGGTAAGATGGAGTAGCTAGAGACGATGGAGTAGCTTAGCTTAATTAAATTACTGACCTCTCAAGATTAGGAGGAAAGGTTGGGTGTTGGGTGAGAAGAAGACGACGCAAAGAACGGTGGCTAGAACTGCCTGGAGCTATCCGTCGACCTGTCCATGGCGTTGAACATGAAATGACCGGCGGTGGCGGCGGCGGCGGAGGAGGAGGAGGAAGGGTGGTCGGGGCCCGCGGCGGCGCCGGCGCCGGAGCGGGAGGTGGCGGCGGCGGCGGCGCGGTCGCCCTCGAGCTCGCGGTACTTGTTGAGGTACCTGCGCATGGGGTCGACGTAGTCGTCGAAGCCGAGGGCGCCGAAGGCCCAGCAGACGTCGTCGCCGTTGACCGTCTTGCGCTTCTCCTTGTGGCACTTGTCGGAGGCCTCGCCGGTGACGAAGCTGATGAACTCCGAGACGCACTCCTGCATCGTCTCCTTGGCCTCCTTGGAGATCTTGGCGTTGGGGGGGAGGATCTGCTTCATGATTCGCCCCACGTTCGCGATTGGCAGCAACCTGTCCTGCTCCTTGATGATCTCCGCCGCCGCCTGATCCGCCGCCTCCCCCTGCAGCTGCTGCTGCCGGCGATGCCCGTCGGCGTGGTGGCCGCCATGGTGGTCGGCCATGGCTAAGCTCGAGCTCTCTCTCTCTCTCTCTCTTCAGTGGTGGTGGTGGTGAGTTCTTGGGCTAGTGGAAGCGCTACAGTATATATGACGATTTAGAGGGCAGCACGCGCGCGGCCGCCGTTGGTTGTGTCTTTTATATGCGGTTGGGTAATCCGATTGGCGAGAGAGACGACCAGATCGATTCACTTGTTATTGTTGGGAATAATGGACTTTTCTTCATCTGCTTTCGCTAAGCTATACGCATCACATCCTAAGAGCCGAGTATAATAAGGTGAAGAAAACGGGCTGTATAATTAAGTTGTCACCTCATATTTGTGCTTATATGGAGAAAAGAAAAAAAAAGAAAGAACAAAACAGACTACAAATTTACAGCCAACTGCAGCACAAACTTCAATGTATTAGGTATTAATGATACGATGTATATCTACAATTAACTATTGTATGAGTAGACTATTAGGTGTATTATTAAATTTGCTCTAATACTACAAGTCTAAATAGTCTTTATCTAGATATCCAAATTTTTAGTACAAGATGAATAAATTATACTCCATCCGTCCCATTTTAAGTGGCCATGATTTTCCGTGCCCAACTTTGATTGTCCGTCTTATTTGAAAAAATTTAAAAACATAAGTGACGCGCAAAGTACTAGTCATGTTTTAACAATAAAAATACTAATTATAAAAAAAATTAAATAAGGCGGTGTCGGTGATATGGGACCGGGAGTATCGTGACCAGAGGCTTGAGGCAGACACAATCGCCCACGTGGCCTGGCACCTTCGGGGACGTCGGGCCCGAGGGTGAGGTGTCCGCCCTCCTCCTGATTTCCCCGAGGGGGGGTCGGGTGACTCCTGCCCCGGCCCCGAGGGCGGAGGCGCCCCGACCCCTTGTGGAGTTAGCGCCACATGAATGGGTTGGGTGAACACGGTGAGCCTCACCTAACCACATTTATTGCGGTCTGGTCGAACGTGTCACGCTGCATGCAGCGTAGTGCAGCGCGTTCCTTTATCCGATCTGTGACCAGTCACAGACCGGTCAGATCACGGGTTAGGTGGCGACTGGCGGTCTGACGCACGCCTTGCCCCATCCTGTCAAGACGAAAGCCTCTAGGCACTCGTCTCAAGCCGGAGCTAGCGTGTAATCTCTTAGAGATGGCACGTAAGCCCTGGTTAGATTTATACCAGGCTTCATCCCAACCATTACAGCCTATATGTTGTATGAAGAAGGGCGAACATGCAGATTGTTGAACTGACGCGTGGAGGACAAGAATGACCGGTCTGACACTGGTCATGTCGTCGGCAGACAGCCACGTTCCCACGACGCGCCTGCCTTCGGCAGAAGTGGAGGTAGGTGTGTGCCGTCCCGTCAGAAGGATGTTCGGAGGACAACCGTGCAAATCTCCGTCCATTTATGAAGAGAAGAAAAGTCCAGTTTGGAAAGAGAGGGGTGCATGTGGTATCCCCTTGAAGTATAAAAGGAGGACCTTGCCCATAGGGAAAGGGGGATGATCTTTTCCAGATTCGGAACTTAGAACAAGTGAGAGGTTGGCTCACACTTTGTAGCTCCCTCATACACAGATCCACCAAAACACAGGAGTAGGGTATTACGCTTCTCAGCGGCCCGAACCTGTATACATCGCCCGTGTCTCGCGTTTCTTCCTGGCTCGCGATCTTTCCACATACCGAGAGAGCTTGAGATTTCACCCTAAGCCCCCGGCCGAACTGGCAAAGGGGGGCCTGCGCGGTCTCCCGGTGAGGAGCCACGAGCTCCGTCATCTGGCGCGCCAGGTAGGGGGCTCAGCGTGTGTCTTCTGAGCTCTCGTACTCCTCCGTGTGCGCCAAGTTTTTCTTGTTCAGCCTAATGGCCGAGCAAGCAAAGGTGCACGACCTCTCTCCGAGTGTGAGCGGCGACGACGGGGAGCCAAACCCACGCCGTCGAGCTCGTACTCCCCCACCTCCTCCACACCAAAATCCTAAGCAGGGGGAGGCGCTCGAGAGGGTCGAAAAATCCGCAGCATCGCCAGTCGCGGGTGATGCAGGAGAACGGCGAGATGGGGAGCGTCGCCTCCTCGTCTACGGCGACGGCAGCACGCCTCAGGGCGCGCTTCAGGCTGTTGGCGCGCTCCTACGTCACCCGCCCGTCGTCCCTGACCCGGAGTCTCCAGCCCAGCGATGGCTGGACGACGTGGCCAACTTGGTCATGACGGCACAGCAGCGCCTGGGTGCTGGTGGACGGTCCGCCACCACCAAGACCTCCGGCGCCGCCACTACCGGCTCCGTGTCGTCAAGGCGGAGGGCGCGGCGAGCGGCGGCTGTTGCACGCCATTCGGCTGCCACTCCCTCGTCGGCACCTCCGACTCGGGAGGATCAGCATGGAGAGCCGGATGCTCGCCTCGACATCGAGCGCCGGCGTAATAGCCGGCGTACTCCTCGCGCAACGGAGGGCGCCTCTTCGTCCAGAGTGTCACCTCGACATGGACGTGAGGACCAGCCCTCCGTGCCCCCGGCTGGTGGTGTCGGCTGTAGAGCCTTTGTGGCGAGTCTTCGGAATGTCCGTTGGCCCCCAAGGTTCCGGCCCACCATCACCGAGAAGTATGATGGAAGTGTCAACCCCACCGAGTTTCTCCAGGTCTATACGACCGGGATTGAGGCCGCTGGGGGTGACGACAGGGTCATGGCGAATTTCTTTCCCATGGCCCTGAAGGGACAGGCGCGGGGTTGGCTAATGAACCTGCCACCTGCGTCGGTCCACTCTTGGGAGGATTTATGCCAACAGTTCACTATGAACTTTCAAGGCACTTATCCGCGCCCAGGCGAAGAAGCGGACTTGCACGCGGTACAGCGAGGGGATGATGAGTCACTTCGCTCGTACATTCAGCGGTTTTGCCAAGTCCGCAATACCATACCATGCATCCCTGCACACGCGGTGATCTACGCGTTCAGGGGGGGGGTGTGCGGCACAACCGCATGCTCGAAAAGATCGCTTCCAAAGAGTCCCAGACTACCGCAGAGCTTTTTCAGCTCGCGGACCGAGTGGCTCGCAAGGAGGAGGCCTGGACCTAGAACCCCTCCGGTTCCGGAGTGGCAGCTTCGGCCGCCCCCGGATCCGCCACTCAGACAGGGCGGCGTGACAGGAGGAGGAAGAAGAGGTCAGCCCATACCGACGACGAGGGTCATGTCCTCGCCGTCGAGGGCGCTCCGCGGGCCACCCGAAAGGGGAGGCCTGCGAGCGACAAAAAGAAGGAAGCCGACGCTCCCTGACCTCGGCTACTTGGAAGAGCGAAGGCGGCGCGCGGCCCTTCGAGCCGCGCGCTACCAGCAGAGCCTGCGGCGCTACCATCAGCGCCACGTCCGGGCCCGATCACTCTACGTCGACGACCTCGTCCTACGCCGCGTCCAAACGCGTGCTGGATTGAGCAAGCTCTCACCAATGTGGGAGGGTCCGTATCGAGTGATCGGCGTCCCCCGGCCGGGCTCCGTTCGGCTGGCCACGGGTGACGGCACAGAGCTGCCTAACCCGTGGAACATCGACCACCCTCGTCGCTTCTACCCCTAGTGGGGGTCGGGTGTCAGGTCTTGGGCTCGGGCCAACCCCGCGCCCCCCCCCCCCCCCGGGGCGTGCAGGGTTGGCCGGGGGCTTATCTTTTTTCTCTTCCGTATTTCAATAAAAACATTTTCGATTTCCTAAGGACTGTGTCTGTGCCATTGTTTCCTTTTGAAGAATATTGGCTTGAATTAGCACGCTCGTGCTCGATCCTGTCCTCGGGGGCTCGGGTCGGCTAAAATCGCCAAACGGGGCCCAGAACCGAGCCGTGCCCCGGGGCGTGGTGAACTCCGAGGGGGAATCGGCAAAAACCCACAATCGGGTCACCCATAACCCTCGGTCACCACGCTCCCGGCCTGGCCAGTCTCGACATGTGGATCTTCCCAGGCACTAGCCCCGACCCGAGCCATTTGAGGACTAGGACCTGGGCACGAGCCCTTGTTCAAGCCAAGACACAGAAGGACCGAGGCATAGGCCATCCTTGTCTCATACACACAACAAATAGAATTGACATAGAAATTTCCTCTTTATTTGGTTGCAGATTAAATTAGTCTATACAAGAAGGGGGCCCGAAGGCCTCGGAAGAAGAAAGAAAAAGTTATTCAAGATTGGCGGGGGCCTGGGGGCTCACTCCGACGCGCCCGGGTCACCAGCCTTGTCGTCGCTGTCGTCCGCACCACCGTCACCGCCCTCCTCGTCGGAGTCGAGGGCGAACGCGAGCCGAGGGGCCGTACCCTCGAAGCTGTGGACGATGTGGTCGGCGGCGTCCCGGACCTGCGCGCGTGCGCCGTCCTCAGTTCCGGAAGGGAACTCTTCCAGCGCTGCCCACGGGGAGAAGTCAGGGTCCGAGAGGCCCCCAAGCCGAACGGCGGCCCAAGGCCCCCGACGGCCGGAGCTGGCCCTCTGCCTGCTTGTTCGACGGTGCCAGGCGCCCCCGACCCCCAGGATGGCCCCGAGGCCACTGCGGGAAGGCCGCGCCTGTCGCCCTCCGACCCCGAGGTCGTCGGCGCAGAAGCCGAGGGCGCCCCGCGCTGCCTCTCGGAGGAAGAGCGCCCTGGAGATGCGGCCCCTAGCGAAGAGGATCGGCCCCGCCGAAAGGTGCAGCGGCCCGTCTACTTTGTTAGCAAGGCCCTCCGGGACGCCAAAACCCGATACCCTCAGGCCCAGAAGATGCTATACGCTATTCTGATGGCTCCGAGAAAAGCACCATCACCATATCTCCAGGCGAAGCAAATCGGCTCGCCCAGATTCGTGCGCTGCTCAGGTAATGTGGCAGTCTTGAAGAGACCGCCCATTATTGACAGCCAAGTTACCATTACCGATGTGCATGGTTTGAGACCGTTGGGTTTTTGCCCAACCATGGAGACCGGTCCCACCTGTCACCAGGCTTTAGGAGTGGCGTCATGCCCGACCGCTTCCCTTGAGAAGGGCGATCGCCCTGGCATAACGCCGGGGGCTACTGTCGGTGATATGGGACCGGGAGTATCGTGACCAGAGGCTTGAGGCAGACACAATCGCCCACGTGGCCTGGCACCTTCGGGGACGTCGGGCCCGAGGGTGAGGTGTCCGCCCTCCTCCTGAT